ACAACCTTTAATTAGATATCAAACATCCATTATTAAATATCAAAGAAAAGTTTATTAGATATCAAACATCAATTACAAAATATCAAACAACCTTCTATTAGATATCAAACATCAATTACAAAATATCAAACAACCTACTCTTAGATATCAAACATCCATTATAAAATGAAACGACCATTTCTTAGATATCAAATATCTATGACAAAATATGAAACAACCTTTAATCAGATATTATAGAACCTCTTAATATTTAATACACACATCCATCATATTATCAAACAACCTTTTATGAGGTATTAAACATCTATTATAAAATATCAACCATTATTAGATATCATCAATATTTAAAAGATACCAAAATAATGTCCAATAATGTTGGCGGTTCATACAATCTAAGTGATTACAATTTTAGAGCAAAGATGCGGCGTAAAACTCCATTTAATTTCATTTGACTATGCTCGAGCATTTCATTATAAACCATTTTAGTCATGATAAGCACACAATAGATTTTGATATTTTTATTTGCAGGAAACCTGTTACATTGGCAGTATCGACTCGAACCTGGATTTTCTTTTTACCATAATGGGACGGTAAAAAATATTAACGAAGTAAGAAATAGCATCGAATGTGCTCTGTTTTGTTCAGTTGAAGTGAGTTGCGGTGGATTTAGTATAAAAACAGTTGAATGTGTTCTGATTATGAACGGAAATAAATCCGAATCTTTATTATATGAAAACCCAACTGATAATTGGAAATCGTGGCTGAGACTTTTTTTTAACAACGATTAATTGATTATTTTTATGTATTGTATGACAGGTACAGATTCTGTTCTGCTTTCGAAAGTGAAAATATAATTATAAAATTTCTATAGAAAACTCTAATTGTGCATCATCACTTTAGATTTGTCACGACATTAAATCAATAGTTCAAAGAGCTATTCAGGGGTTCGTCCTGTCTCATATATTATTCACAAGGTTTGTGCATGCGTTTACAAAACAAATCGAAAAATTGCAACGCGCACGCATTTTGATTGGCCCCTTAAAATCACACAACCTGATGAAAATTAAACGGCTTGGTCCCTGATACGAAGTTCACCATCTAAACTGAACCGCAGAAGAAATATGTGATACATAGTCTCGGACGTTGCTTGTATTCATACGAAATCAAATTGTCGAATTTTACATTAGATAACTCTTTAAGTGTCATCAAGAACTCTCACAAAACAAGAAAGTCATGAAAAGTTCACTGTTTTTCAAGTTTGAGAACTTTATCAAAGCCGTCATTGCATATTATGTTATTCCTGGTTCTCACCATTTCTTGCAGTCATCAATACAGTTTTTCAGTTGGAATTTACATAAAATAATCGTAGAAAGAAAATATACCGGTGTCTTTCCACATAGCCCCTAAATCATTCGCTCCTTATTATTTTTGACCCTTTCCCATATAGCCCTAACCCAAATTCGCCCTTTTCACATTTCGACCCTTACCCACCCCTTCGTTTCGTCCCATCCCACTTCAAATAATTAAGTTACATAAACAATTATGCCTTTTCTGGGTTCGAATTCCGTTTTTAATTTGCAATTGTTTTTTTCTGAATCCAAGCAATACTGTTTTCACAATATGCAGGTCATTATAATCGTTACCCCAAATGCTTGAATGTTAAGAGTATTTTATATATTATATAGTCGTCTAAAAATGGTAAACAGTGACATTAAGAAGTTGTTGACAAATAATTTTATTGACCATTATCGTGAACATGTGATGAAGTGTTTGCAAATTTAAAATCAGTTTGCACCATCGGTCTTGATATGAGTTTTGCGCTTTTGATGATCATTTCATGAGTCCGTTGATTTTTCTTCTTTTGGGGTAGTTAATCCATATCAATACCATCTGGGAATTGAATGTTCATTCAGACATGCTATAGTTCCATCTATAATATCATAATGAATAGAATTAAGACGATTCAAGTAATTAACCCTTTTGTGTCAATGCCAATGATTGGGCTCAATGATCGCTGTCCAATTCAAAAACATGGTTGTGGGTTGGGATGATTTGCCGTCAGCATTTCATCACAGATATTCAATCATCATTCGTGGCTTTTCATAATCATGTTAAAATTAACCTAACTTGGGGTCTTGCGATCGTGGGCTGCAGATGAAGTCCATTCTTCAAGCTACACAATTTCGTTTGACACATGGTGTTTATGTGGTATAGTAGCCAGATCTGACCAACAGAATGATTAACTGTCGGACACTGATCTCTGATCACTCATTAATTATCTATATGTTAAGTGACCATAAGGCTCTCAACTCTTCAAGTTTGACCATATCTTTACAATGTAACCATCAAGGTGAGTGGTTATTTTATTTTCATAAATTCTGAGAAACACTTTGAAGATATTGTTTCACGAGCCAAGACTCAAAGGACTTTTATGAAAATCTGGACTGAGATTTTTTTTTTTGGACTCATTTATTTATTCTTCGAAGGTCAGAATATGATACAATTTAAGATTGAATTCATTGAAATGTACTTTACTAAAGCAGGTTGGAGAACAGTGAAAGAATTCTGTTTCACTTACTACATTGTACCAACATAATCATCGAAACATCTGTAAGACAATACCAGTCTTTGGAACCAGAAGAATTGACTGCATTTGTTGCATGTATGAAATTGTTTCATTTTTGTAGTTCTGGTCCACTGCATTAGAAGATATATTACTTTTATGGGTTTTTCAGTGAAATTATAAAGTAACGTAATTTTTATTCTAGGTGTCAGTATGATGTACCTTTATCTTGTTGCCGTATTGATCATGGAGGTAAGGTTATCAGGTTCCAATGACTCTTCATCATCACCTGACCCAGCGACAGGGCCAGGTAGTACTTACCCTACACCACAACCCAGCTACACAATTACTTATATTAACGGACCCATGAGTAGTTATACCACAACACCCTTTACGACTTTAGGAGCCTCTGACACATCACCATTCGATAGAACGACGGAATTAAGTTCTCGATATACAGAAACTACGACACCGACTACGATCTGGGATGACAAAGAGCTCTCGGGATCTGGAAGTGGAGATATGTCGGAAACTAGTACTAAAGCTGATAATGTTACCATCTTAGTCGGTGACGAAGCAATTATTCAAGATGAATGCAGTACAATAGGTAAGATTCAATTTAATGTAGAAAAACAGTTTGAAAAATAAACATTTTTCATTTCGAAATAAAGCATCACACAATAAGCTATATTTGAAGCGTAGGCCTATTGTTTTTGTAGACAACCACGACTTTTTTCTTTTTTGTATTAAATTGAGCTTATATATAGCCACCATCGCATTCCAGAATCTTATATTTGCAGAAAAATCTATTTCTGACTCCACGATATCGGCGCATGTTAAAGGTAAGTCTAAGACATTGAACCGGGTGTAGAAATTTTAATTACATGAGATGATACCTGCAAGGACATAACCGTGTTATCCTCAATATTGCTTACCTCAGTACATCGTATACATTACAAACTGTTCTGTACAGACTTTGTAACAAAATACTCTCTACAGTATAATTACTCTGTATAAAATGACCCTGCACAGTATATAACAAAGTACTCTGTACAGTATATGACAAAATACTCTGTAAAAACTATTTTGTACAATGGATACAATAAATAACAAAGTACTCTGTAAAGTATATTACAAAATACTCTGTACAAAATGACCCTGTACAGTATATAACAAAATACTCTGTACAGTATATAACAAAATATTCTGTACAAATTGACCCTGTACAGTATATAACAAAGTACTCTGTACGGTATATAACAAAATACTCTGTACAAAATGACTCTGTACAGTATATTACAAAGTGTTCTTTACAGTTGATAACAAAATGCTCTGTACAAAATGTTCTGTACTGTATATGACAAAATACTCGGTTCGGTATATTATATGTATAACAAAATGTACAGTATATAACCAATAGAACAAAGCAGAATGTCTATTTTATTCTAATCAGTGTAAATTCAAAAATGATGTAGTGTGTTAGTATTTAGTTATTTGTCATTTATCTGTTACAGATTGTAAAGAAGACGTCATTCAGAAAGTATTTAATTCTTATATTAACTACTCATTTCAATGGGAATCTATAACTGCATACTACCAAATGGTGAGAGATATAGAATGTGCTAGATTGTGTTCTCGAGCAATGGATTGTATCGGTTTTCACTTTCAACACCAACAGCAAAAGTGTGCCTTGATAATCAACAGAACGGCTACATAGATTGAGAAACGGAGGTTCTCTCACCCAAACTTGAGATCTTCGTAGCTATTAATGGTTTTTCACACCAATAGTCTGAGTACTCTGCTGGTGATCAAGTGACATTACACTTTAAAGGGGCATTCTGCAACGTTTTTGATAATGAAAATTTTACATAATGCCCCTTTAATACCTTGGCTTTGGATAACTTAGTGTAGGATAAAAGTCTTGATTAGCTTACACGATGAAAATATTATTTTGATATAAGTTATTATTTTCAATAATTCCATTCTATGATGTTCCATTAAAGGATTAAAAATTAAATTTGAATTAAAAGGAGTTTTATTTCTTCGTGTTTTGAATGAACAAAGGAAAGGTTTAAACCACGTAATCCCTTCTAAACAATAGTTTCTGGTCATGACTGCTAAAGACTTATAAAGACATATTTAACAGTCTTCTGACCACCAACAACTACCTAGTTCGCGATAATTTGTCATCTATCAGCCAACCAACCTTCTGACCACCATGTTTCTGAGCCTAGTTCTCTGTAGCATTGAACATCCGTGTTAGATTTTAGTATCGTATATCTGGGGATGACTACATTTCTGAAAAATGAAATAGGAATTTTTCTTACGGGACGACTACATATATGCAAATGAGACAAGTGCCCCGTAGCGAATTCCCCTGTCAGTGATGCAGGTACGAGGGGCTGACATGGAAAAGGCGTCTAGTCGTTCGGATGGAACAATAAACCGATGACCCGTGTGCTACAGGCACAAAGATTCCTCGATAGTTGGAAATCGAAAAAGAGCAGGCTAATGCCACTGTTCTGGCAAAATTTCCCTCATTGCACCCTACATGGCGTTGCCCGTCTTCATAAGCCCACATGGTGCAGAAAAGTAGGACGTAAAACTCCATTCATTTCATTTCATTTCCGTAGCGAATTTGACAAAAAAATGAATAATAAAGAAATTTTGTTTAAAAACTAATGAATATAATATGATGTCTACAGAAATGACGGATACCTTTTGAAGTCTACCCAGACTACTCACCCAAATAGTTTTCGCCTTGCTACGTTCGGCTAATAAAAATTGCCCCGATTACAGCCCTGTCTCTTATTATCTGCATTTGCTTGATCTGTAATATAGGTAAATATTAGTTCAGTCAATCTTTCAAAAGCGGTCAGAAATTCCATGATCCAATGTGTGATGTCATATTCAATATGAGCCTCACTGAAGGTTAGGAACATTTTGTATGCTTTATTTTTTATCAAAATGGAATTTTGCACATCTGTGATTAAATATTGCTGCTATCGTGCAATGACAATTTGGTAAGCCAAGCTATGTGGACATCTTTAGTTATTAAGTTCTAGTAGGCTAGATATTTATTCAGTGGATCAGCTAGATGAGTTGGGGCTCTACACCTCGGTAAGTATTTTTAACATATGCTCCGCTGGATTCTGAGAACCCTCTTTGTCGGCTGTCGGAGAAGTCGGAGGCTATCAGAGGATTAAAGCTACTGGTATTATGCTGCCCTCTACAGTAAAGGTCTTAATATTTTTCATGAATTAGTGCCCTCATATGGAGTCATAGCTGACATTGGGACCACATTTGTCAAATAATTTAATAAGTTGTGCACCATTTTATATTGTGTTAACCTTTTATATACTTACTATGCTACAAACATGAATTTAATAAGAGCTGCGGAAGCCGATAGGAACTTTAAGTCTTAAAGGCATTGTAAAGAGGTTATCTATATAAGAAAAAGATATGTGTATCTGGGACACTGATAGCATCAATTTGCACCATTCATAAAACAGTTAGTTAGTGTTAGTGGAATTGTAGGAAGCAGACGTCTGCTTGGAAATTGAATTGGTGTAAGTTGTTTCTATCGGTGTCTCCGAAACACATAAAGAAATTAGAAAATGTCTTTGTGTCAATGACTGACGGTGAACCAAAGTGACTTGTCCTGCATGTAATTATCCACATGTAATGTTCCACAAAACATGAATTCTTAGTAAGTGTAACAGGAAACTAGATATATTTCAAGAATTTTTTAAATGCTGTTGTATAGAAAATTGCATTGATTATTACTTCTTTGCTATTTTAAATTGATTTACCAATACCATTGATTACAAAAGCCAGACAGAATTATATAAATGCATGAATTGTGGATCCGTCTTGAAATTGAAAGATCGACCTTGCTACTAATACTAGCAGAATAGAGCATCCTGCTAGCGTCTGAGCATCTTCACAATATCAAGCTATTACAAACTTTGGCTTATACCTTGACTGCAATAGCTACCTTTGTGTATCACGGAAGTTTATAGATGCAGAGATTGTGTTTTAGAGAATACAACCAATCAGAGTCCTCAACATACAGTTATGGTATACAATAAGCCACAATGTCTGTCTGGCTATGATTGGCTGTTTTCGCTGAACTTTAATCCAATCAAGTTGTTGCATTCCGTGATACAGGAAAGGTTGCTATTGCAGTCAAGGTATAAAACGAAGTTCGTAATAGCTTTATATACAATCGACCTCGGCGCACCTACTACTGGCAAATCGCTGTTGTCCGTGTTCTATTTTCTATTTGAATGGTTGGCCTTATCGGACAATTATTGGTAAAGTACAGCGTATGGATGTTGATGAAATCAAAGAAGTATCTTAGTTCAGTTTTTAGTGGCATATCATGTACTTCAATATATCCATTGATTCCATTAAAAGTACAAGAATTTATAATCAACACGGTTCACTTACCATGCTGTAAGGATTGCCTCTTTTAGAAATATTGAACCATTTAAACATTATCAATTAAATACCTAAAAATCAATCTTGAATTAAGGAAAACTTTGATTCAATCTGATTTAAATGTAGATCTATACGTATTGACTATCGCAGCGAGATTGACTTGTTAGGATTGTGGTTCTTGCTAGTGAAATCAATCTTTAAATACATATACTAATTGTTTCCCCATTTCTCCCACTCATTTTGTCCTCATTTTGTTCTTAATCTGATACTTGGTATTAAGAACGGTAGGTGTAAGTATCCCCAGTCAAAGAACGGAGCATCTATAGATCTGCAGATTAGACCTTGATTCTACACATTGAATCATGAGAAAGGCGTCTGTCAAAATCAACGATTTGACTTGATTAAAGATTTACGCGTATACAGACCCCCCTCCCCCCTCCCCCCCACCCTCCTAAAAAAACGTCTAGAAGATCGGCTAGTCGGAATGGAAAAAAAAACGATATAATAATGCTTGATGGAATTAAAACTCAAATACAGTTAGGTTTACAATTTAATCAAAAGATGCACTTGGGGAAGTATCGATAGGATGTTCATTAATATCGTTATTTTACAATAATATATAAATACATAAATAAAACTTTGACAAACATTTAAATTAAATATCTAACTGTATCACATAGAGACATTTCATTATGTACAAACATATCACAATTACTTATATATTTGGTATTTTATGATAATCACTGATTATGGGCGAGCTTCGAAATTTTAATTTAATATAACGAATTTGAAAAACTGATTCATGATAAATATAACTGATTGGATGCTTCATTGATATTAATTTGAATCGAAAAGGGATACTGACTGTAACCGAAAATGGAAGCTCTAATTTACAATATTATAGATATAAGGGGACATAATCAGTGATTTATGGTCTGTACTTCTGAATGGTGGATTTTAACAGAGATAAACTGTCAGCTGGAATGGAAAAAAAAGTTAGTTATATCAGATACAGAACTTAGCAAAATCACATTGTTTCAATAGCCGGAAATAAACAATTATCCAAAATTTCTTATGTTAAGACAGTTTTTTGGTGTGTTGTTTGCAAAACATATATGCATAGACGCATCTAGGTTTTCTGTCCTTTTTAGGCGAAAATACTTCTTTCAATGTGCAATAATGACGTAGAAGTATTTCTGCAATTACAGGAACCACGGAAGTCAGTGGGAAATCGGAATAGTGCCCACTTAACACCCCTGTAACACATGTAACAAAGATTTGAAAGGGGCTAATGTATTCCTTTAATGTTATGCTACAAACCAAATGCAAAATGATATGACTAACGCCGACACATGAATCTAAACTTGCCCAATTTTGAAAAAAAGTCCTTACCTCATCGACGTATCCTCTGAAGTTTGAGAGATGAGTGGCACGTCCTACTTGAAGAGCACATTGACTTCTCTTCACGGCACCTACACGAAATAAAAATGGTCAATATTTGTTAAAAAAAACTATGCAGTATATGATAAAACTTTAAAGAAACATTGGTCGTGCTTAACACGAACTCAATGAGTTTACCAAACCCTTTTTTGTATTGCAAATGGTTGTTATCAAAATTAACAAAGATATGATTAATTCTTACCATCAATGGTCTTGTGTGCAGAATTACCATTAACACTTCCTGTTAATACGTCACCTTCAACCTGATAGATGATCTCATTCCAACCATTCTGAAAACATCAAATTGACAATCATTAAATACTGGGTTAAAAATTCTTTGTGACCATAGTAAGAAAATAAAGCCATCCGTTTTTATCACAAATAGAGGACTTCTTACAGCCCACGATGTTTGGGACTTAATGGCTGCAATGCCAGACCAGTGGTTTAGGATTACATTAATTCATTGATCTACTGCAGAAGAAACTTACAGCACTAGGAATGGTTACAATACCAGCAGTACCAGAAACCGTCTGCAGTCCAAATAGGGTGTTGGTGTTGTCAATGGCAACGAGAAGAGACCCGGGTTTACCACAATCTCCATTAGATATAAGACCCTGTGATCCATAGATACTTTCTGCCTTGTATCTCATGGTGATTACAACCTTAGATCCAAATTCAATGTTGGAGAATCTTGGAATTCTCAATCCACTGGTACCATTGAAGTAACCTTTGCCTCCAATAACGAAAACACCTTCATTTTCTACGTAATTTCCGTTGCCAGATTTGTCGATAGCTACATCATCATCGAAAGGAATATAGACCTCTGCTTTACATTCTAAAAGCAAAACAAATATCATCATATTATCATCTTGCATTATTAAGAATTTTTAAAAGACCTTCAATTTGGTTGGAAATATAAGAAGAAAATGAGGTGCTGCATGCTTTTCCACTCATGCCAATTCAGAAATATTTTTTTTACTACCTTTTTGGAAACAACTTAATGTGCCGAACACACTCCTGTATAGGAACCGGAAGGGGTGCTTGCTGTGGCTACATTGTCACTTTGATGTGATAAAAAGATCACTTACCACCAGCATTAATTGGTAATGGATCAATAGCGACGGTACAACTACATTCAACTGGACTGAAAGCACTTCCTGGTGCACATGGTTTTCTGACCCAACCTACACCCCTGACAAATTGTTCATATGAGCTGATATCATCACTTACTGCTCTCATTTCACAATCTGAAAATATCAATAGTTTCCTTAGAAAACAAGCCTTAATTTTCTTTGACGATGTTTGAGTTATGTTATATTAATCCTATTTGGATTGACGAATATAAATGAAATATTAAATGCCCTGACCAGTTACCACAGTATAGAACAATAATTAACTGAAATGAAATGAATGGAGTTTTACGTCATTCTTCTCTGCATCATGTGGGCTAATGAAGACGGGAACAATAATTAAAGAAGGGAAAACTAATCATTATAAGAAATAAACCAAGCAAGGTACAATAAATCAGTTAAAATGCAATGCTGCTAGAAACTTACATGGGTTGATAAAATCTCCTTTGCAGTGAGCATTACAGTTGTAGCTTGGAACACATTGACCAGATACATAGGCAAATCCTTTCTTGCAACATTCTGGCATGGAAGTACCATTAGAGCAGGAGTAATATTCACGACAGTTACCAGCCTTTTTGTAGCTTGAGATGTGGTAGTTTTGACATGGGTCTAAAAGATAGAAATACACGTTTGACGCATTATGGATAACTTGAACTGTTATTCATTCACTAATTAATTGGAAGACGGTGCTGTGTTGTCTACAACACCGGCTAAGTAAAAACCAATCTTTGTCAGCTAATTACAGCAAAAGCTATTTAAATTTAAAGATTTTTTAACTTACCGGCACGACATTGAACAGCTGCAGGGTAGTTACAGGTTAAGAGATCTTGATCCCAGAATAATCCTTGTCCACACTGACGAAGAACAGAATTGACCAAACCTTCTAAACTAAATTCACATTGGAAGTATTTATCGCAGTCAGTAGGATGAGGATTGAATCCGATACCATTGGACATCTTGCAATTGGCGCATGGGTCTGGTTTGACTGTGGTGGTGGTTGTTGGTACGGTTGTGGATGTTGTTGGAGCTGGTGTGGTGGTCGTGGTGGTCGTAGTGGTTGTTGAAGTTGTGGTAGCTATAGATAGAAAAAGAAGCGTTTTAAATTAAATTAGAGACTACAGCTTAGGTATTAGGAGACATTTTCAGGGTAATAAAGAATTATACTTCATTTAAGACTAAGCGATTTTCAACAAAATATTAAAATGACCATAAGATTGCGGAATGTCTTTTCCATCACTTTAGGTCAATGATAGCATGCCTTTAATCAATGAGGTACAACGTTAATTTGATAGTAACTTACTTGGACAGACAACTTGTATGAAATTGGATAAAAGAGATCCAAGTTGGTTGAAGTTGACGGTGGTTAAGACTTGTTGATCATTAGAAGCAATGGATTTCAATTCAGTGGTATCTACGTTGATTCCAACACCAATAGCGAACATGTTGATTCCTTGGTTTCTAGCTATAGCTGCTTGTTGAGCAGTTGCAGCCTGATCTTTAGAGATGCCATCAGTAATGACTACACCAACGACTGGAACTCCCGGACGTCTCTGAGCAGCAACCATGTCGTTCATTTCAGCAATAGCAAGAGCAGTATTGGTACCATCTCTTGGGTGTGGCAAAGCTCTGATTCCTGGGATGATGTGACCAGCGTTTCCACTGATATCAATTTTACCAGCAATGGTGGAACTGTAGAGAACAACTCCAAACCGGGTGTTATCAGGTCGTACGTTCAAATCCAAGACAAGTGATTCTAGAGCCAACTTCAATGTGACGAAATCATCGGCTGCGATACTGTCTGATCCGTCTACGACAACGACTACGTCCAACAGACTTTTACATTCTGAAATGATGAATATGTTCTATATAAAAACTATGCAAGAAATGGATACGCTAACATTGCCGGATGTCCAAACGGATGTGCAATTCTTAGATGAAGTTTAAGACAAGTTTTAGGTACAAGATAATATTTGGAAGTATCTTTACTAATTCTGTACATTAAACCAAACAATCTTAGATAAAAAAAAAACTTTAGAACTGTACCAACCTGTGTAAGAAGAGATTGGAGCTACATATTGTACATTTTGGTGTTCATCAGAATAAACTGAAACTGTAAGTGCCAACAAAAAGGCTAAAAATAACTTGCAAACCATTTTGATCTGAAAAAAAATATGTTTTTATTATGATGGTTTAATTTAAGCTGGATGTGTATATTATATTCAGAGCACCTCTTTATCTATCTGGGACATCAGATTTATACCATTAATTGAATTGATAATAATAAGCATTATCCAAACCGAGACGCTGTAACTATAGACTCTTTTGTCTGAAATGATTATTGACGGAGATTCATAAAATATTGTTAAGTGTATACTTTGGAGAGTCAAGTACTAAGATAGCAAAGGGAACTTTAGACCAAAATATACTATACTATATTCAATATTCAAATTAGACTTATATTCTTTAGACAGCAAGTAATAATATACTTGAAACTCACAACCAAAGTTTTCATGAATGTACAATGTATATAAAAATGAAAAACAAAAGTAGAAATTTTTCTTACCTTGATTTAATTTCTACAAAGGTCTGCTTTAGTTTTCTCGAAATAGAGTCTTTAAAACGTTTTGAAAGAATGATTTGCATATTGCTCGGTCTGGTTTTTATATAGTTTGTAAGTGACCACAAACCCTCCTCAAAATACATTCCTCCTCCAAGGGTCATGTCAGGTCACCAAATCTTGTTGTCAACTCATCAAGGTATTTTTCACTGTTTCCTTATTGAACCCTAGATTTTAAGGTAAAACCTGTGTTTTAAAATAGTTGATTTGTGTTTAAAAACTGAAGTTGTCGCGTGGTTGGAAGGAACGTCAATCATCATAGGCTCATTACTTTGACGTCAACTTCAAAATAAATTGACTTCAGGTGAGTTGATATTAAATGCAGGACGGTACGGGAGATTTTTCTTGGCGTTTGATTGTCATGGATCACCTTTATTATCAAAGGGGAATGGTAATTTTTTTTTCAAGAAATTCCAAGATTCTATGTATTTATTTTCTATTTTCAGGTACAAACGTGCTGAAAGGTGTCACTTAAAAATAACAAAATGTGGCTCAAGGGGTTGTTAAAATTAAGCTCTTTTCTATGGAGCAATAAATTTTGCCTTCCCTGATCGCTTCCATGCTAAATATTGTAAAAATTGCGACGGTCTTCGCCAGTGCATAATAGAATTACCTATCCCGTTATTTATCCATATTTCATTGTTTATCTTGTACCGTACGCAATTTATTTCCGAACATCTGTGAAGGAAAACAAAATTTGTCAAATATAATTGAAGAAAACATTAATCTATGCCCATTTCAATTTACCCTCACTTGCTTCACATTAATTTCATTTTTAAAAATTAAGCATGTTCACTGTCATTTTTGAGATTTGCTCAAATCCGTGTTTAAAAACTCGTTTATATTTTTACTTGTCAAATCTATTTTTAAACATGATATAGGAATTTTACGTTGATTTGTTTACAAACATTAAAATCTCCACAGTCAAAAGTTGAAATTTAAAAGCTTTCAAGTAACAAATGATTAGTCACTGCACATCTAATGCGTAGTAGAAACGAATGTTCCTGTTTTAGAATATCGCCTCTCTCATTTCACTTCTACATAAGCAATGACATCCAAAGCTTCATATATTGCCCCTTCCAAACGATAAGGCTCGCTTATAACCCACCCTAACCTGCATTAAGCTAAAGGAGATACAGTGGCGTTTCTAAAGGGGGGTTGGGGCACTTTCAAAATTGTTATTACTTTACATGAAAGAATAGCCTGTGCCTCCCTTAAATTACTTTTTTGCAAATTGTTCTGAGGCTTTCACTTCTTTTTTAAAAGAAATTATGCCAGATCTAATAGCGCGATAGTATTCGGGATGAGGATCATTAGCTAACAAGTTCTGTTTATTATGTCTATTAATGGTTTCGAGAAGAGTAATAATGTCAATGCTTTCTTGTTGTTTACTTGACGAACTGTCCAATAAACCATCCAATAATTTATGGGCTGGGCAGAAATACTAATGACGACAATACAAATCATTACAAATTATCTTCCTCATCTCACTTCCTCGAACATTCACACCTAGTGAAGGTGGGGTTAAGGCGGATCAAGTGAGGATAGAATGATATTGATATATTAAACTTCAGCGTCCTTTCCGCAAAGAATGATATTTCATGCTTCTTTCAGATGCCTATAAATTTATACACACTGGCCACAATGTAAAATGACATTACGACCTGTTATTTTTCTCATGCTATTGTACATTAATGTTACGAGACCATTTCGCTTTCAGGGGCTTTGTAAACTAACATTACTTAAATCTATCTGGCGCTTGGTAAGTTAACATTACTATACTCTCTCTGATGCCTTGTAAGATAACATTACTATACTATTTCTGATGCTTTGTAAATTAACGTTACTATACTCTTTCTGGTGCTTGGTAAATTAACATTACTTTACTCTTTCTGATGCTTTGTAAATTAACATTACTATACTCTTTCTGATACTTCGTAAATTAACGTTACTATACTCTTTCTGATGCTTTGTAAATTAACGTTATTATCGGCCTACTCTTTCTGATGCTTGGTAAATTAACATTACTATTTCTAATACTTTGTAAATTAGTATCAGAAATACTCGATGCTTTCAGGTTCCTACATTTATAACGACTGTTTATGAAACGAGTGCTTTGATTCTTTCAAGTTCCTTGTATAGTAACGAGGATCTTTCTCAAATACCTTCATATGCTCAGTAACCGACCATTCTCGACTCCAAGTATTATATATGCCCTTTCGGTTGCCTTCGAAAGCAACACTGATCAAATAATTACCAGTCACTATTTTTTAGCTGCTCTTTAGAGTAAGGCTACTTGAGTGTTCTATTAGATGTTCTATAAAGTAAGGTTACTTATCAAGATCTTTCAGATATTCTATAAAGTAAGGTTACTTATCAAGATCTTTCATATGTTCTATAAAGTAAGGTTATTTATCAAGATCTTTCAGATATTCTATTCTTTAAAGTAAGGTTATTTGTCAAGACTTCTCAAATGTTCTATAAAGTAAGGTTCGATGTCAAAATCTTTTAGGTATTCTTTTTTGGTTACTTGTCGGGATGATTCAGATGTGTTATACAGTATGCTTAATTATCAGGATCTTTCTGATCTTAAAGTATGGTTACTTGCTGGTATAATTCAGATGTTTTATAGGTTTTATAGTGAGGTTACTGGTTCTTTCCAATGCTCTGTAAAGTTAGGCTGCTTGTCGGCTTAATTCAGATGTTTTATAAAGTAAGGGTACTAGTAAATATATTTCAATATTATATTCTTTAACGGGATTGTAAAGAGATTGTCTAAATATTTTATGTATATCAGATGTCTGTGGTTCCTCCAATTCCACTAAAAATTAGTGTTTGATGACTCAACTAATCACATAATATGCTCACGGTTTACCATTCAGGATGTTTCAGATGTTTTAAAAATTAAGGTTAGCAGTCGGGGTATTTTATAAAGTAAGGTTACCAGTCGGGGTATTTTATAAAGTAAGTTTACCAGTCGGGGTGTTTTATAAAGTGAGGTTACCAGTCGGGGTGTTTTATAAAGTAAGTTTACCAGTCGGGGTGTTTTATAAAGTGAGGTTACCAGTCGGGGTGTTTTATAAAATAAGTTTACCAGTCGGGGTGTTTTATAAAGTGAGGTTACCAGTCGGGATTTTTTTATAAAGTAAGGTTACCAGTCGGGGTGTTTTATAAAGTTAGGTTACCAGTCGGGGTGTTTTATAAAGTAAGGTCACCAGTAGGGATGTTTTATAAAGTGAGGTTACCAGTCGGGGTGTTTTATAAAGTAAGGTTACCAAACGGGGTATTTTATAAAGTGAGGTTACCAGTCGGGGTATTTTAAAAAGTAAGGTTACCAGTAGGGATGTTTTATAAAGTAAGGTTACCAGTCGGGGTGTTTTATTAAGTAAGGTTACCAGTTTGGTGTTTTATAAAGTAAAGTTACCAGTCGTGATGTTTTTGATGTTTTCTTAATTAAAGTGACCAGTAAGGATGTTTCTGGTGTTCTTTTAAGTAAGGTTACTTGTAGGCTGTTTCGGATGCTACACAAATTATGAATAAAGTAAACCCAATCTATCTCACAATAGAAACATAATTATTACAATTAAAATAGCATAATTTTTAATAACAATTAACATTATTTCAACACTACAAGTACAATTCGAAAAGTACAAACAATTAATAATAGCATAGAAAAGAAAAATGGCGAACGTTTGAGTTTAGGCACTTAGCATTATTCCATGTTTCTGTCTTCTGATTACCACATTATAGTTCTGCTGGATGTCTGAAATCCTATAGAGCCTTAAGACAATCATTGGTAACTATTGAACTAGATTAACCAATAACTTGAAAAGATGAGTCCATATCTCGTTTCATTGAATATATATCTCAAATAGCCACTCCTTAAAAGTTTCAAAAATCCTCATCTGTCAATCAAATGCCTAGCTTAATATCGACCAATCAAAGATCTTAAAATATAAGGCTATGATAATGATATTATTTCTGATCACCTGGACATGATAGATTAATAATGCATGAAATGTCGACAAAAAATATAGCATTCAATTTTCTGAAAAATATGACATTTGGTCATGGCATATAAAAAAATCTGTGTTTTAGTATAAAAATATTTTTCACAAAAGGTGTTGCTTTCAATTCTATCTGGCCAAAAAAATTCCATTTATTTTCTAAAGAAATTATGACCTTACATTATGCTTTACAGATTGGCGATTCATCAAAAATAAATTTGTGAAAATAATTTCAATGTAAGCCAGAAAAAAAAACTGTGTACAACAGCATAATGTGAGTGGGATATAAAAGAGGTTTTGAAGACATAGAATGTGTATGTCTGCAGTTCTAGACCCAATAGAATATGATTTCACTTGCAAAAACTACACGTCAGCCTGGAAATAAGAAGTGCAAAAATAGACACTATAAGTTACCAAGATATATATATACAAAGTCTTTGAAACCCTTTTACAACCTTTATATATCCTGCAAAACCTATTCACATTTATTCATTACATGGAAACACAATCAATATGAAGAATCAACATTCAGAATTTAAATGGCAACAAATTGCAGTGAGATACAAAGCATATATACTTGAAAACAACCAACAAGTTTGACAAATATTGTCAATTAACCAATGTCAAAAGATCATTCATAAAGAACATATTAATTATTAGCTGCTGTCAACGAGTTTGACAAATATTTTGAAATTACCAACATGAAAAGATCATCTAATTAAAAAATATTGACAATGAGCTGATGTCAACAAGTTTGACAAATATTGTCAAGTAATCAGCATCAAAAGATCATCCAATTAAAATATATTGACAATAACCTGATGTCAACAAGTTTGACAAATATTGTCAAGTAATCAGCATCAAAAGATGGTCCAATTAAAATATATTGACAAGAAGCTGATGTCAACAAGTTGGACACATACTATCAAGTAACCAGCATCAAAAGATGGTCCAATTAAAATATATTGACAAGAAGCTGATGTCAACAAGTTTGACAAATATTGTCAAGTAGCAAACATCGAAAGATGATCCAATTATAATATGTTGACAATGAGTGGCTGTCACATGACCAACTGCAATTTATATACAACAAAAAACCTTTAATAATAATAATTTTAATAACCTTGACCAACAAATTATTTAACTTTGAAAATCAATATTGATAAATAAAATTTGAATATACGTATTTTGACAAGCAATGTCAACAGATAATAATTTGACAATTCTCCAATTTATCCACAAACCCACGGAAAGAGTTCGTCAATTCACAAAATGGTAAAATCTGATTTGAAAAAAAGTTTAAATTTGACAAGAAAATAACACAAATATGAATACAGCATCTTTTCAAAGTATGTTAACAAAATAATTATTATATCTTAATATAAAACAGCTTATTTCACACTTCTTTTTTAAGAGGATTCTGTCATTATTATAAACAATCGTTTAAAGTATAATATGTGTCAAATGTTGTCAATGTACATAGGCATAGAGAATCACAAGATGTATGTTAACATGTACATAAATTTAACTCAATGTTTGAAAAATACCAGTTTCAAAACTGAAATATCCATATATCTATTGATTCTTTACAAATATGTGTTTACAATAATAGACATAAACAGGTGCACACAGTTTACATCATAAATTGTTTACATTATGAGACATAGTTTACATCATCAAACATATTGTTTAAATTAACAAAAACATATTGTTTAAATGGTCAAACATAGTTTTAAATGATCTTAACATAATGTTTACACTATCAAACATAATGTTTACACTATCAAACATAATGTTTACATTTTAAAACATATTGTTTTTTTATATCAGACTTATTGTTTACATTATCAGACATATGAGGATAAAATTCAAATTAAAATATTGAGCAATTGAAATCCAGCAGTTTAAAGAACAGGGCAATGCTTCATAAAAAATCTTCAAATTCATTTCAACAGTTAATTTAACCACCAAAATCCTAATAGATTTTCATCATAAGATTATGTTTTAAGAAAGAAATAGAGCTGATCAATATAAACCTCTGACAAAACCAAGAATTGTTTGACAACACAATGACACAAACTTAACTAAGCCAACAATTTCATCGAATTATGCAATTCTTAAAGGAACTGTTTCCTGATTTTCGGGGGGTTGATGTTGGTCTTGAATATATATAAACCTGAACTAAACTTTCTATTTCTGTATATGTCTTTTCTGTATATGGCTATATATGGTCTCATGAAAAGAGAGTCTCATCTTTTTAACTTTTCGAATGCAGATAATATTCGACACATGGATTTGAAGACTCAAATTTCGATAGTAAGCTGTGAACACTATTACTGATGACGACTCTGTCCCTTTAATTACAATTTATCAATAGTGCAAAAACTGAAAATTTGGACAATATGAAATTATGTGACTTGGTGCAATATACTGAAAACTAGTTTATAAAAACCTGTGCTGATATTACAGATATAAATAATAACACAAACTGAGAGCAGAAATAAATGGATGGAATAAGATATTAGCAAAATAATTTTAATGTATTTAAATCTTACCCTGAAGGACACAAACTCTTTCTTCCAATTTCACTTCAAAAATTTAACAGCCAAGTAACAAAAAAGACCAATTACACCAAAAAACTTTAAATTTTATTGAAAAATCAGGGTTCACATCTCCTTTTAATCCATTTAAAAATTTTAATTTTCACATTGATTTGTCATAATATAATTTCTTATAATCTTGTAGAACTGGACAAAACAAGATTATTCTCAACAAAATATATAGCCAAAAAATAAAGATGATATTTGTACAAAAGGTAGGAAAATATATACTAGGCCAACTACTAGAGAATACAAAATTTTGATGTTTTTTTTTCTGACTTTTGGATGTTTTTTTCTTTCTCTGCATCGAAGGGATACAATTCTCTAACTACTCACATTATTAGATGATCAGCTTCCTGCATGAATGAAAATCTAACAATCAGTTTGTATACAATTAAATCAAAATTCTGAAATATAAGATTACAAAGAGAGTCTTATATCAAAATTGAGACCACTGGTCAAAATTTTTAGATAACAAGGTCTTGGCAACATAACTCTATATAAGTAATGCTAAACTGACAACTGGAGGATTCATTCTGTGCATGAACTATCAGTTGATAAAGTGTATAATTAGTAACTGTAACCCTTTGATAAACACAAGAAGAAAGAAAATTTGGCAGAATATTTTGATTTAACATGTCGAATATTGTTATATGATATTTTTTATGGAAATGATGAAGATCAAGGGGAATGATACAAGTGGTTATTTTGTGGTTTAAGAAAACTATCTAAATACCTACTAACTATAAGTTTCTTATTTAAAAATACATGGCATTGTTTTTCTTTCAATAGATTTAAGTAAACAAAATAGTTTTGATTTTTACATTCATATAAAAATAATTAAAGCAAGCCACAAACAGTGATAATACAAAATAATTTTAACATTTGATAAAAAAGACCCTCAAATATCTTTATCGCATGGCAAACAATTTAACAATACAAAATAATCTGTTACAAAACATACATTTCTTGAGGCAAATATGGCATTATGTAGTCCAACAAAATTTCATAAATTAACTATTATCAGTCAACAAAACCAGATTTCAAGTAACTATTGCAAAATATAAGTAGTTTATAGAGGAAATATAGACTATTATAGAATTCCAGACATCAATTTCAGTCATATACGTCTACGAAATAAATAATAAGACCTAAAATTTTTAGCAGACTATATTGTCTATAAACTAAATAAAGCCAAATTCTGTAAGTTATAAGTCAGATATTTGTTATCTTTCACTGGGAATAGTGAAATTTTCTTCAGCAATATTAATTTTGTCACCTAACATTACAAATGGGATTGACGATGGTAAGGTAATGTCACAAAAATACCTACCATTGAATACTCAGACCAAAATAAGTTTTGCTAAAAGTTTGAACAGCATTTAAATGATGCTTGATATTGTCTATTGTCAATGTTTCTCTAACTTCATTGGAATATTTTACTCAAAATCTTGGAATTGGGACATAAACAACAAAGTCATGAAAGAAACCATAGAAAATATAAATAAATCAATTAAAAAATTATTATAATAATACTCCAATATTTATATTATGATATGGATGGCTTTGTTTTATAACAAAAACTTTTCAGTAGAAGTTCATTTCTATAAGAATTCTGATATTGTGTAGTAAGAGATCAAGAGAATATTTCATCCTACTTGATTTTTTTAGCTCATCAATCTATATTCACTAACAATATTACTGTTATTTAGAGTTCAAATCAGACATTTCAGACAAAAAGTCATACCAGTAAAAAAAAAAATATTTTATTTTACCAAGATATCATAATGACAAAAATATCAATTTCCTTTAATATGAAGTAATCTAAATAAAATAAATTTGTATTTCCTTGTTTTTGTCATTTTTTCCTGGACTCAGAATTCTTAAAGAATATAGAACCACTGTAGTTATATTATGTATGAAATATTAGAAGTAAAATCACCCATTATCTGATTAGACAAGAAAATGAAATCTATTGACCAATTGAAATAAAGGATTTTATCAATGGTATGAAGTTAAATAACAGAGACTGTATAGCTAGTTAGATTGTCAAAACCACCAGTTTATACACACTTTTACAATCATTTACAGTTATTCAGTCAGACTCAAGAGAATTCAAATCTAATGTCTTCAACAATGTTAATGTATTCTTGGCACAGTTTATGAATTAGCTTCATTTTTAAGAATTATCGGAAAGTTTTTAATGAATAATTTGGTTTGTAAATGCATATTTGTTACCAATATTCCTTGTGAAAGTGAAAAATCATCAAAACACAATGCTATATACATCATATAATTTTCACAATTCAGACATGACAAACAATCAAACCTATGAATAAGACTGTTTTTATATTCTTTCAATTTGATAACTGTAGGCTTTGACAATCTTACTAACTGTATATAAAATAGTTAAATAGTTCAATGTTTAACACCATTACGGTGTCGAGATCGTACAGAGCTATTATTAGAATTGGAATGCTGAGTATTTTTATTCACTGGCGTATCAGCAGTATTATTGTTGATAATCTTTTCAGGGATATCATTCTTAACATCGCGTTTAATATAAAACTTCCATATAGTATAAATTACAAGACCACATAAACCGACCAACCAAAAAGCAGCTACTGGTCTAGGGAGGGGCTTACTGATAGTCTTCCAATCAAATTTAGCTATGATTAAAAATTCTGTGACAATGATTGCAATTATCAACCATGATTGACGCCCAAACTTTTTACAATCCCTGAAATAACAATATAAAAACAGAGTTATAAAGTTCAAAGAAGGTTCATCTTGCAAAGAATGAATAAAGTATTTTTTAAAAATCACAAATTTTAAGAAAGATAGCATATATCGAAATTTTATGAATTATTTTTCCATATGCATGAGAAAATAATGGAAGTTTACTTCGAACTTTTCAGCACCTTAATTGGCAAAATACAGATTGAGAATTTACATGGAAGACTACGGAGCCCCTAAGGCGCAATTGTAAACATATTTATTTATTATTTCGTTTAAATGATTATTTCGAACAACAATATTAAAATACTTACGGATCATCAAGGAACTGAAAAGTTTCTCTCATGGCAGCAGCACCCATAAATAAAAAGAAAACTAATCTGCTGAGGCATAACCAATGCTCTGGTGGAATCCACAATGCAAATTTTAAATAAAATGTGTTTAATTCTGCTAGTAAAAACTGAAGAAAAGAAAATATCATTATAGTAAAAATACATTGTTTAAATTTCCTTTTATATGAATCAGAAAACAAAATGAATGTCAATGACATGAAAAAGTTGATTATATTCAATTGAACACTACACAATGAAAATATCAATGAAGCATTATTTTTGCTGTCAATCTCTTAATAACAGTTACTTTTGGAAATGGAGCTTTATATTACTAGAATAGACTTTCAGCGCATGTGCATCTGAAGGTGCATTTATACAGAGCGCGAACGCGAACGCGGTTTTTCGTCATGGAATGGTTTCATCATTTTATAGAGGGACCGTTCAAATAGAATGCGAACACGAACAAATATTTGTTCGCGCGGTCGACCGCCGAGATTGCCCCAAGAGCGAATTTTTCAGAAAGTCGCGGCGGATTTCTTGCTATCAACCAATCAGCTTGTACCACCTCCCTTGCATCATTTCCTAAAATAGAAACTTGTGCACATGGCTTTTCCAATTTGCTTGTAGGGTACAAACAATGGATAAAACAGAAGTTTTGATTTTAGAAGTTGAAAAGAATCCAGTTTTGTTTGACAAAGCTGAAAAAACTTACAAAGAGACAGTAAAAAAGAAAGATATTTGGAAGGGAATCGGAGAGATGATTCCAAAATGACCATATGACCAAATTCTAACAACAAAAGAGGCGATCCGCATTGAAAGCTGTGGACGGTTTTCCGCGTTCGTGTTCGCGCTCTATTTGAATGACTGAACTGATGAAATGTCGCGTTCGCTGTCGCGCCGGTCGCGTTCGCGCTCTGTATAAACCCACCTTGCCTCATTGGTATCTGTTTAATCAGCTTGATCAGTTTAATTGCCCCTGAGACTTCTGATTCAAATTTTCAAATCAAGTTAATGTCTTCTATTCCTAAAACTAAACTGTTTTTTTTTTACTTTCAATTTGAAAAGTTGTTGATCATAAAGAGTAAAAGAATACAATGACTTACTATAGCTATCAATGCTAACATAGACAACCATCTACTTAAACTAGAAACAGGTCTCCAATCAAATTCTGTCCAACTGTAGGGTGTGAATTGAGCTGCTACTCTTCTCAACATACCTCTAAAATATACATACATAGACATTGGATTCTATTTTATGCCTTTCCTTCTTAATACTCAAGCCTACTGTCCTATTGTGGTCTGATAAAATGATATATTTAATTAGAGTAGCCTCCCTTAAAAAGTGCATAATAGAAAATATACAATAGGTACCAGTATAATGTTATTTCTAGAGCACTAAATAATTACAGAGACCTATTATTCATAACATATGTCCTATATTTCTACCCCAGATTAGGTTAAGGAGAAGACAATTACAGTGTACAATAAGGGAAATTATGCCTATTTATTTAAATTCTTTACTATTAAAGTGTCTCAGTGTCTCAGTTTAGACTTTAATTAAATACTCTTTCTATTTCAGTTTCTCAGATATGCATCATTGATATGGGAAGAAAATATAATGGAAAGATGCAATGTTAACTACTGACTAAAGTGAGAAAGTGCTTACTTGTATGTTGGCATATTCCACATACTTCTCCAATGATATGGCTTCATCTTTAAGTACCGTAATGTTTTCATACCTAGATATATACCTAAACCATTACATACTAATGCATCCATTATCCACTGAAATATTTTATAAATAAATAAATAAATAAGACAGAATGGACTGGAAAAATCAAAGCACATTAAAACTTGTGTACGCTTTAACCAGTTTTCGAATTATCTGTACATATATGATTTATACTGAAAATCGAAATAAAATTTATTTGAAACCAAGTGCAGATCTCAAAATGATTCTGCTTCTGATTCTAAGAAACATTTAGTTAATCAAGTTCACCTTTATTTTGCATGAAGAGAATTAGTCTGATAAAGCAAGTAACACTTATCATTGTGCGGTCTGGCTTTAATTACATAGACACTTTGTATTCTATTAAGAAAGTGATTAGTACTTACATGGTCCCACCAGCATTCACTAAAATTAGGTAGTTGATGTTCTAGGGTGTATTCTAATACTTCAAACATGATACTAAATACTGTACATAGCCACCAATCTCGTAATATTAACGTCTGCAATATAATTATCAATAAATATTAATTTCAGAAAAAAAATAACGTAAGGTTTTCCCACCTTATCTTATGGGCATATATATTGACTAAAAAAAAATTTTTCCATGTTTCAAATATTTGCAGTTGGATCTTTTTTCATCAACATTTATCAACTTTTAGTCCATACCCCAAATTTCAAAAATCTTACCTTTAGCCACCATCCAAAAAAATGAGTAGGGACAAACCCATCTAATTTATCCTGAAAAAAAATGTTTGTCTCATTAGCAAAATTTTACCATCAATTTAATACTATCAAATAAATATTTGCATTTTACCAGATAATAATGTTTACTTTTAGATCTTTACATAGAGCATTGTAATCCACATAACAATTCAGATCAATACAGTACCTTTAAGTGATGGAATGGATTATCTGGCATATTTTCATCATAAATTAGACAGTTTCCACCATAACTTTTCTCTGGTAATGGCCGCCCTAAACTACTATCAAAATGGGTTAATATATGACGAGCAGAGTCCACTGTCTGAAAATGAAAGAAATAAAGTGGTGGTATTTGAAAGCTAGGAATTGCAGCTATTTAAAAGAAAACCCAAATGCTTGGTGGAGCACATGTGTTTTGTTTGGTACCTGTTTTATGTTTGGTGTAGTCAATTTTTTGATGGAACGTTGATCAAACGGTTTGGTGGAGCAACAGTCAATAGTTAGACACTGCGTCTTGGAGAAACATTATCAGGAACTTGAAGTAACACTTCTTGAGTGCTTGTTTTTTTATCAAATAGTCTTTTTAAGAATATGAGAAACCTTTCGTCGAGAAGCACATGAGTCTTTTGTGTAAAAGTTGTAATGTCTCCAAGGTGATCCTGTGCATCACTGTTCACCTCTTCAAAAGCCCATGTCAATTGAAGATAGAAAGCTTAAGTTTATATTTAAGGGAAATAATGATCTAGGCCTATGCAAATTGAATTACCTGAAATAATAGAAATACTAAGGCAAGTTCGTAAACAATACTGAGGCACAGGATTAATCTCCAGAACGCTGGGTGAGGTCGAACAAATACACCATCTGGAGTCTGAGTTACACCGAATAGTAGAAAAGCTAAAACTACGGCAAATACACCTCTGAAGATAGACAAAACATGTACTGTACTGATGATAAAATGAATAATCATTAATATATGAATGTAAATATTATATGAAGAATCCTGATTCAAATCATTGTATGACGAATACAAGTTTTTACATTGCATGGTCGTATTAATTTAAACTAAGCCCACTACACTCTGGGTCTGGGGGGCAGGGAAATGAGATTAATGCTACTTAATCATGGCCAATCCGATTGGTAGAACGCTTTACCACCGCCTGTTTGAAGAGATAAGAACACATTCTTTCCATGTAAATATTTCGAAGTAAGGTTTGATTTTCTTTTGGCTTCAATACTATACTGAAAATCTTACTCAATTCTGTACTATCCACATTAATCAAAACATTTAATGACACGCTGCTTTTTTTTTTGTTAACGTTTGCACACAGAGCACCATAACAAGTGATTTGTTTTGATTGGCTGAGATTTTACTAGCAAGACAGCAGGGCTAATTTTGATTGGACAATATTTAGACATAATTTTTATCACTTGTATTACCACTGTCTCAAGGAAGAATGACGAACAGGGGTGTGGTTTGGATTCAAATATACCTCATGTCATACTATTAAAAATCAAAACAAAATTTGATGATTTTTGCAGCACACATTTATATTGAAATTTGCTCTTAATTCCTGACCCTATTTCAAAATATCACAATATTTATGAAATTCATTTAAAACCCTGATAAGGTAAGTGGATTGATTTGAGCTAACTTGGCCATGGTTCGTCATTTTAGGGGGTTGATTGCGAATAATTCTGTACACACATGGATTTCAAGGCTCAAAATTCAACAGCTATTACTGAGTACCTTCGCTAAAAATCTGTTTCTGAGACTAAGGTATGATTTGTAAAACTGATGGTGAACCTGTCCTTTTAACATCACTGATCATTGACCTATATGATAACATAACAGAGTGATAACATAATGATAGCTCTTACCTTTTGGTGTTATAATCAGCATCTAGCACCTGTTCTTCAAACAAAGCAACATAAACTAATATACAGGAAAATATGACTAGCACTGTTATAGTATGAGCTCTCCTAGAAAACATCAAAGTATTTAAATAATCTTTTTTATATATATTTCTCGTCATATTTCAATTTGTAAATTGCAGCAATTTTCTCCAGTTATGATGTTTTTGTCATCAAAATTACAGTTGCAATCTGTGCCATAATAATTACATTGAATAAAATAACATAGCATACTAAAGTTCCTATTGGACATTGTCTATTGTTTATGACAGACAATAAATCTATAATAAAATAAAATAGGGACTACACCTTAAAATATTATAAAAAATCCCTGGGAAAAATTTGTTTGCTAGAATTTAGGGTCACAATATCTATACTTCACAAGGTATATACTTATGGAAAATCCAGCACCTATTAATGAATAAAGGGCAAAAATTGGGTCAGCTTTATTTCAAGAATGAAACATAAATTATGTTTAGGTATGTTTTTCTTATTTATTTAATCTGATTTCTTTCTACAATTGAGTGTTCAGATCTAACTGGTTCTCTGATAACATGTTATAACCTTCTTTTTATTTCATTTATCTTTCCTATATCAAACATTTTCAAGGTTCTAAGGCATAATTCAATTGCTACACAATTATTACATAGTGGACCACAGCCATATACGCCCAACGCGGCATGTGGATGGTAAATATTAAAGATTTTGGGGAATGGGCAATAACTCTGCTTCTTACGGTCGAAAATAGCTCAAATTCAAATCTGATCTTCGTTTTATGAATATGTCTACACATACCGAATTTCATTTGATTCCATCAAAAAATCTTTAGAGTGTTTACAAGCAAATGATCTTGAAAGAAGCACTTACTGTATAGAGGTTAAAGGGCAATAACTCCTTAAAACTGACGTCTATAGAGGCCTATATCTTGAAAAAGCCTTAAGTTTAATCAGATGTAACCTTTAACCTTAAACCTTTCAATTTAGGTCCAATAACATCCATTTTAAGTTTCATCAAAATCAGTTGAAAACTAAGAGAGTAATAGCATATTCAAGATATTGGGGCAAGGGCAATAACTCTGCTTCTAACAATCGAAAATAGCTCAAATTCGAAATCTTTGTTTTATGAATATGTATACACATACCGAATTTCATTTGATTCCATCAAAAACTCTAGTTTTTAGAGTATTTACAAGCAAATGTTGACGGACGGACGGACGGATGGACAGGGGTGCCGGCAATATACGTCTACATAGAGAGATGTGGGCGTATAAAAATAATGCATATGAATATATTGTTTTCACATTACTTTTCTCTCTTAAATTCTTATCAAAACTGTACAAATTACATAATATTGATGATTCTGTATATTGTGTAATATATACAATGAAATATGTAAACTTATAAACCAATTTATTTTCTTGTTTAAGTGATTTTTTCTTATATTTTTCTCTTTAACAATTAAAAAACTCTTTCCAGAATAAGTTGGCTAAATTGTTACCAGATGAGTTTCAGATACATGCAATATAATATTGATAGCAGATTTGTCATATTCAAAAGTAGGTCAAAGTAATATTGATTGAAATATACACCTGTCATCATACCACCTATAGGTACAATTACTCGAAAAAATACTTTATCTTATGATACAGCGACAAGATTATTTTTTTCGTCTGATTTGATTACATCAATTAAACTCTCCAATGAATTTTTATGCCTGATTACAAAGGCGCCAACAACGCTTATTACTTAGTGAGTAACACAATTGGCAGAACATCACTTGAAAAAATCATCAGGACTGATAGATATGTAGTTATCGCTTGACAAAATACGCTTGACACAGGCAGACGATCGAATTTTCAATTGAAAATAATATATAACATTTTTGATGCATGTGATACTAAAGGCATCTGAATCACAATTTTAAAATTCACCTGGATTGAGCGAAAAAATACAATTAAGTGCCGATAGAAATTACTAATAATGCATATATAAACTTATTCATACAAAAAAAAATCCTTAGTTACAAAATTTGATATCAGTTAAAGTATTTAAAAATTTAATATGAAATAGATAAGGACAGCTTCAAAAAAACACAAGTAACCTCATTCGGTGTGTTAAAACAAAAAATATTTCATGAGGCCTCTTATCACCAAATATAACATAACTTGAGTGCTTATTTCTATTCTAATGTCATATTGACATTCTTAAAAAATGTCAATATAAATATAAGTTCAACTTTTCTTTAAAGTGATTGTCAAGAGGTTTTCTAAGCCTTTTATTTATAATAAGCTTGTATTTAGACCAATTGCAGGGATTTGCATTGTTCAAATTCTCAGTCAGGCGTCTCAAGTCTTGCAATTCCACTAAAAACTAAAGCATTTTATGATTTTTCTATGGCAAAGGCCTTAAGAATAATAATAGTGAGGTCTTTAAATGTAAAAGCATTACAAATATAAATACTACAGACATCTGACAATTGGATTGATGCAAATAGTAGGTATAAATGGACCTGATACACAGTTAACAGAGCTCAAAAAACAAATTTCACCGATTAAATTTTTTTTAAAAATTGTCATGGTATTTATTATTGAGAAGTGATTCCTGACAATTTTATAAAGAATACAATGTATAATTACATTATCACAAAAACACTTACCAAAAAAATGAGAGTGTACCATCATCCCAGAAATCATTCTGTTTTCTTTTGTCTTCCTCCCAATCATGAGCAGTAGCTTTGTGTATTTTATCATATCTATCATAAAGTTTGGTCGTTCCATTGGAATGATCACGTTGTACTGCCGCCATTGACCATTGAAATACTAAAATCTACAGTGAATCGTTTAGTTTCTCTCTTCGTCATTCAATCTATAAAACATAAAAAATTACATTTTATTTTGATTAGTGTTTAGTATGGTAGATTAAATCCAACTCTTAACATTTACTAAGTACTACAAAGTTGAAAAGAGCTTATGTTTTCAAATTGAAGTCTTTTTTCTGGTTTTCAAGATGTTCCACATAAAGGGAACAATATAATTACATTAAGTTATTCCAACATAAAAATACCTAGCATTAATGATAATTTCTAAAATATTAAACACTTTTGATTTTTCATGAAAAAGCACATTATAGCTAAAAGTGAAATTAAACCTGACTATACTTGTATAGACATTTAATACATAATACACTACAACTGTTGCTATTGTTGTATAAATAGTCAATATTTTTAACAAATAAATATTCATGTATCTTGAATTGTCATTGTTGAAGCATTGATTTTCGATATAATAAAGGCAATTAAATTTAATAAACATATGCATAGTTAGCTATCTTTCAACAAAATTCATCCGACACCACATATTCTATGAGATTATTCAAATATACTCAATTAACTAGATACTGATCAGTATGAACAATTCACTGTAAAGAGTAAGAGTGATAGAATAAAACAACAATGATTATTTTAACAAGTACATTCACACAACCATGACAAAATAATTAATGTTTCTACTTTGATACAAAAGAACAACCTACAATAAGAAACCTGTTACAATTTGCCCTTGAGTGACAGGCTTGTGTAATGAGTCTCCAGAAATTATATCCTAGGTCTCAGCTCCTTTCTGCAGAATATACAGATACTATTTTCAGGATTAGGAAGCAAATGAGACTTTCACAACCGTTGAGAGTTGAAAACCATTAAATCTGCTGATAAGAAATGCAGAATAAATTGCCTGACATAATATTTGCTATCTTTTAAATGTTAAAATATTTCCCTTACTCTGTACCTCTGTATAACACTGATGGATTTTATTATCAATATCAGACCATAATGAATAAGTTAAGATAAGATTATATGATAAGTTTGTTAAGGATGACATGTGGAAAATTCTGCCAAGGACAGCTGCAATAGCCTACGTTTTGTGACTTCCAGCTTTCAAAGGATGCTATACATTGACTTCTGGACTATTGGCCCATCCCAACAACTAGAGGTTATCTCTATGACAGCCCCTCTGACTAGAATCACTGACAAGGAGAAATAATGTTGTAAAATCAGCAAGGTAGTAACTCAGTGAGACACCTAGGCCCTCTGTTTGAGGATGAGAAACATAGATAATAACTTCATTCTTACATCAGTAACTCAATGATCTGACAGATGTTTTGACAAACGTCATTTTTGTTCTTCTTCTTCAAATAAAAGTAAGGGGATTGTCAACGATACAATCGATTCAATAATTTACACTTCTTATAGGAAACCTTTTTGACATAACTGTATCAAGCTTGATGCATTCTACTCTGTATTTGAACTATAAGCTTAAGCTTGTATAGGCTTTTGGCATGATTTCCATTATGGACAATTCCTAGCCCACATGTCACCATAAGGCCATCAGCATCTATAGTTCATGTCTATATTAGGACTTTGACTTTTGATACATGACGAAATTAATGATAACCAATGAACTATAGTACACCCAGTCAGCAATCTTGAAAACTATGATTTATGTTTATTGATACAACACTGGTATATTACTAGTAGGAGATATGTGACAACAATAGTGATCAAGTTCTACTAATTACCAGAATTATTTAATGTTTAAACCTACATCTTGTGTACAACATTGCCAAAATTGTCGGTATAGCTTTTAAATACCAATGTTATCATTAGAAAATGCATTTGTCAATGCTGCGAAGAACAATTGTTGATTTGTTAACATGCGAAATCTATAAGTATTTTCCAAAATCCAATGGAATGACACTCTAATGCAGATAACATTTAACACATTGCATTATACACTTTGCTTTTTACAAATTACTTTATTCCTGTGAGTGTCTTTTTAACTAATAATACACTAATATCAAACTTTCACATAATCAACAAGCTTATCTCTTGCTCTGTGACCTAGGTCTGAGACTCGTCTTAATGCACCCTAAAAGTACAATTGACTTTAAACACTGTATAATTTATCAATTAATGTTAATGCCTTTAGTGATACAAGTTACCTTTTCAACCATCCAAACCACTGTAACTTCATTAACAAGAATATACTGACAGTTGTAAAACAGAAAATTTCCATAGAAATCAGTTAGGAGATAACAAAATTACACTCCTTTTCAATCATTTCTATATACTGATTTTGGCATAAAATTTTATGGTAATAATGGAATCTAAAAAAATTCAGTAATCCATCAGAATTTTTTCAAATGTTGTAATGGAACGCCATGTTCTCAATTCTGATCATGTACAACCTTTATCAACAAGGTGGCAAGGCCATTCAAAATCTATTTTCTACTCTTTCGGATATTGGACACACTATAAGCCTTTAAACATTGAAATAAAGCTGCTCTTTCTAAAAGGCTTATTAGTCCTTAATAACCATAAAGGCCTTCAGTACAATTAACTTACCTAATACTACCTAATATCTAAAATAACAATATTTTATTGTTAATACCACTATTCTAAAATTAACACAAATCTATTTGAATGTTGAACTAAAAATATATTTTTGGCAGGTTGGAGATGCTTTAACACACATGTAGAACACACTGCATTATTCAGAAAAAAGAATATGTGTATTAATAGATAACTTTTCTGAATTGGAAATCTTGAACAATATAACATACTGGTATCAACTTAATGCTTACATGTAGTGTTATAAAATCAAGTAATGTGGACATCTAGAAAGATGTTCTCTTATTAACATACGGTATTACATTAAATGATTTAAACAAAGTTCATTAAATAAATGTTCTTATACAATCACATTGGAACTGTATATTATGTATAGGATTAGAGCAATGTCAATTATATTGGTGCTATGGATAAACAAACATGAACACAACAGAATTTGTTTTAGATACGGTACTAGCTTCTTTACACATTGCCACACTTACTAACTTAAAGTGATACTACGTCTTAGAATGAACATAAAATTCAAGAATTTTAAACTTGGCCAATAAGAGCACATATACCTCAGTTGATATACTTGGTGTCATAAATAACATAAGGGTCCTTATATAATCCGAAAAATCAAAAAAACTTAGTAATTATCCATAAATATGCAATTAACTATTGAAAAACACTTAATATCAAGATTAAACGTTTTTCAATAATTACTTAGTTTTATGAATTTTCCAATTTTTCAGAATTTACTGGGATTCTGTTGTAACTTTATGACACCAGTAGTAAGTTCACTGATGAATATATACTCATATTGATCATTTTGAGAACTTAAATTTCAAGCATTTTGTTGGTCTTTGCAATAAATAGAATTATGTGATCTTTGTGCAGACAGAATTTACATAATCTTTGTAAGACATATAATAGAAGCAGGAAAGTAAACATTAAGAACACAAGTTATATGGATATACTACTTCTAGTTTTATTACATACTACGTATTGAAACACATACAGGTGTTCTTATATTTACATATATTCAAGATTAAAATCAACCCCCCAAAATGGCACACCTGACCCTTTAATCAGCTTTAACTTAAAGGCACAGATTGATTTGGGCCTTGAATATATGTACCCAGTCTTCAGATGCTCAGCTAGAACTGTATGAAAATTGCATACTTCCTTCAAATAGACCCCAAACAAGAAACACATTTTATTTCACTGTTTACAAGCTAATCTTCTCTGTGAAAATTGGGGTATCCGAAGGTTAAATGTTTTGTTGATATAGTCTCTGACCAGGCTTCCACAAAACCATGCAAGCAAGCCGATGCAGGCACATTTTGCCACATCAACGACACTGATATAGGACAAACTATAACGATGGGGTCATCATATGTATTTACATTACAAAAAATTTTCCAATTCTGAATATTATATGGATAATTATGGCAGTTGCGACACCAGCATCCTGAAACTTAGGGTACAAATAGGGGGTAGACTCAATTGGAAGACTAATGTCAAGGATAATATCAAAATGCTGTAACGCTGTGGAGGCCCCATAGTTGCAAGCCTTTCATGGAGCGTTTGAGAGGGTTCTCTCATTCTTACACATATTTTGGCAAAAATGTATAAAATTCATATTATAATGGCTAAGTATGGATACATGTGCCTCAGATTTTAGCAGATGTGAATACTATAGTGTTGAAATGGTTAATCAGTTAACCGATTTCGGGTAGGATTTCAAGGGTAATCGGGTCTGATTTGAGACGATCGGTTAGCCATCAATTTTATCAGAAGTTGAAAGAAAGCATTTTGACAAAAAAATTTGTCACTTTATTAATCTTTAAACTCTTCTTTTCTCAGGTAAATAAACGTCTAAATTTGTGTTGTTTTTCTTGATTGAATAATTGAGAGGTTTATGGGTTATCAATTAACATAACAAGTGTTGCGAGATTTATGTTGATTTCTGTGGTCAAGAATATCAAGTCTGAAACCGACAATGAGCAAGATACTGGTCCAAACTAGGTACTCAAAGTTTAAGATTCAGGTATTAAATTTTACTATATATAGTTCAGTGACCCAGATAAGATTCTCCTTTGCGTTTTGAAATGCCACTTCTTGTTCGACCAAACCAAATTTCATGGCTAAATTTTTCTGCATAGACTGTGGTGCAACCTTTCGCAGGACGATCAGACATTGTAACAACGATAGCTTGATACAAGATGAAAACCAAGAATGGTTAAGTTCGATATTTCCGTACATCTAATAATGACCCCAGCCATTTGATCTAAGAGCAATGACCTTGATCTAGAAGCGAGGTCAATGGCCGTGATTTACCAGCAGAATAGATCCTTTTCACATATCGGCGATCTTTTGTTTTTATGTTGGATTATCAATAATACAAGAGATCATCTAATTGGCAATTGAGATGATTAGACGTTGGATTATACAGACTTTTGTGTCACAACTGATGTTTAGTGTCGTAATTCGTAATGCACAGAGTGTTGGAGTACTCAGAGTTTTTTAAATTAGAATTAGAAGGAAATCAATTGGACAAGACAAATTACCGGTTGGTCAAAATCCCTAACCTTTTTAACACTAGCTAGAATACCATATTATATACGGTACTAATACTATAACCGATAAAATTCTGGTTTCTGAGACAAGGGTAGGATTGATACCAAAAATGGCCAATTTTTCCATTTAAGCCAAAGCACAAATCCCATTCACAAATCTATAGAGCTTTATCAATTGGTGGGAGAGGTGCGAGGTCATAGTTCACAGGGCAGGGGCCGGGGTGAGAAGTAAAATTACACTCTAAAAATTCTCCAACACCAACAGACACAGCACTATACAGCAGTTTCTTGAAAAATTAAGCAAATTGAAGGTTATACTCACAATTAACAAGTCACAGATCAAGTTCGTGTGGCAAATGAAATATTATCCTATATTCGCAGTAAGACTTGTTATTTGTGTTTTTCACGTTTCCATCATCTGATGTGTAAAGTAAAGCCAGTGGGTTTAGTTTGGTATCTCAGTAACTTGGTTTATTTGGATTGAAATAGCAATCAATTAGTATTCATGGGCATTTCTAATTTGAACTTTAAATTCTCCAATTAAGGAAAATTTCAGAACAGAAACAATAAATAAGGTGTATGTAATCTTCTAAACCTTCGACTAGTCCGCATAGATGGGTAGTCCGAAATGGCATAATATCATGCTCCCGGCGACCTTGGTCTCGGTCTCGGTGTGATCATAGAACTAGGAACACGAAACTAAGATCGTGTGAAGACCGTAGGCTGTTATAAGTGGAATTTAGTGCCGTTCTACTGGGAAATTGCCCTCAATGCACACTGTCTACCTTATCTTCCTTCATCTTCTTGTTTATCTGCTGATCTGTACAGAATCTAGATACATAAATAAACATATAAATACAATTTACATAACCCATTATCCATTACAACAAAACATTTGTCACAGTTATTACTGTAAGTACTAGTATCAAAATTTGCATACATTTTATATCCATAAAATTAAAACCAAAAGGTGCATGTATTTAAGCAATAAACTGTTACACTATGGCGGTTATGGTCGTATCGAAAAATTGATTAATGCGCGTTAAGATCAAATAGAACTACATTAGAAATAGAAGTCTATCTTTCTATCGATGATAACAAGTTGATTGAATAGTTTCATATAAGCGACAAATTATCTAATTATAGTTACCGGAGCCATTTTGGCTATTTGGGATCATTTTAACTAATGATTTGGTTGAAATCAAAGAGTAATTTCAGGGGCCATTTTGCAATTTTGACTATTGAATTTGGGGCTATTTTGACTTATTTTGACTTTTGGGGCTATTTTCACTTGGAGTCATTCTGGTAAGGAGCCAAATTGACTATAACCCTCTAGAAAATCAGAACACAAAATTGGCAAGTTTGTTATGGACAAGATTTCAATCAAACGGAACTCTCGGATTACCTAAGTTGAAAATACGAAAATATAATTTTCGACTTCTCATTGATATCGTCTACTTCCGCTTTAATGAAAAGCGAAAATCGTAATAAACTTTTTGTTCTTATGTCAACTCTTTATTTATAGTAACTTGTAAGAAATTCATCGCAATTTTATAGAAGTAACATGATTAAGTTATTTTCATTAAAACAACAAAAGAAAGATGGGGAATCTGGACCCGAAAGGGGCAAGAAATCATCAGCAGCCCAACTCAGAATCCAAAAAGGTAAACAAACAAAACAAGTCATAGTGAGGCCTCTCTTTATTGTAGACATTGGATGATACAATCTGTGTTGATCAAAATCTGAAAGACAGAAAATATGAAAGGATCCAATCCACCACATGTGGTCATTATTTATAAAGAAATGTAAAATTTGGATCACTGATTTCCATTAATGTGTCAGAGTCAATAAATGGAAAAATAATTACACCTTCTTGCAGTAGGCCTAGCAGTTTGATCGGGATCAGTTGGATAAATATTTGATCTCATTATCTGTAGCACTCTTACAGACTGCTCATAACAATAATAGCTTTCAGGCAGGCACATTTGATTAATAGGTCCTGCACAAAATGACTTACTTACTATTGATTTGACATTACAAAGATTAAGCTTAAGGAGCAATTTGTTTAAAGAAATCGTTGATGATACATACATAGTAGAAAGTGTGAGCATTCACATAAACTTGTTGTGAATAATTTGAATAATTTGAATAATTCTGCTGTGTTACCACAGGAACTTCTCTAGTGCCTAGTCACTAGTGGAAGAGATAATATCTACTCTTAAGTTTGAATTTAAAGATCAAAGAAAAATGAACTAATTCTGAATTAAACACCATTTATTTCAGATATAAATGAGTTAAACTTACCTAAAACCTGTCAAGTTGAATTTGCTGATCCTGATGATTTGTTGAACTTTAAATTAATCATATGTCCAGACGAGGTAATTGTTTTATTTTAGTCTACTTAATACTTTAAGAAGGACAAAAGCTTATCAGAGTCAGCATTTTTGATTGAGCTTATATGAAAATATGGTAGATCTTACATGAAAGGAGCATGTTCACTTTCCTCAGCCTAGAATTGATAATGGAAAGGATGTCTTCAGCCACCTTCCAGCACTTTTAAAGGTTTGAATCTTGACAACTCATGATCAACAAATAGTGAAAAAAAAAACTGATTGTCTTGATCCTAGTTGTCTTATGTTTTACAGGTTTACCTCTAGAATAAACTATGAAGGTGTTGATTCATTGCTTTCTTACTACAAAACTTAATTTAAAAACTCTTGATAAGATGCTTATTTTTCATGTTTCGATTACACATTGATTTTTTTTAATTTTGGTTTTAGGGATTCTATAGAAATGGTCGCTTTGTGTTTAGTTTTAAAGTATTTCAAGGATACCCTCATGATCCTCCTAAAGTAAAATGTGAGACAAGGGTGTATCATCCTAATATAGATTTAGATGGAAATGTGTGTCTGAACATTTTAAGGTATAGTATTAACTGGTATTAATTGGTATTGTATCATCATGTCTGATCAGTATTTCAGAAATAATTCTTTCAATCAATAATAGGGTGGAGTATTAAGAGTGAAGAAGTTTAACACTAACCTACAATAATACTGTTGAATATAACAGTCTTCTTGCCATCATGTCTAAAGGATAAGGCGGGATGAGTACATATAAAACTTTCCTTTTCTTAGAATCTGTCACATAAACGAATTCTGTTGTGAAATAAGTAGGCAGGTGATTTGGAACTTTGCTTCTGAATACATAGTAATATTGAAAAATTTTCTAATATTCTTTAGTACCTCGAAAATCATGTTCTTCTTCAGTTACATTACATAAAAGTTGTAAAAATCAAAAAGCTGTCAGTTGCATGATATGTTTTTGTCTATTACAGAGAAGATTGGAAACCAGTGCTAGCTATTAATTCTATCATTTATGGATTACAATATCTCTTTCTTGTAAGATTTAATTTAATCATATACATGTAGATTTAGAACCATTCTGATAATGACTTAAAGACCTAAATCATTAAAATCTCAGATGCTTGACACCAAATGTACAAAACATTTTAGATTAGTGATTACAATAGAGCAGCAGTCCTGTTTTATTATTGATCAAACACTAGCCCAGGCAATGTCCCTAAAAGCCCAAACGGTCCGTCTCTACATACGTTGTGGCATCAGGTGCAGTAAAGTAAATAAACCTCCATTTCATTTTATATTCCAAAGTTGTGGGATTGCAATAAAATCTGCTTTGCCTTCTGAATGTTCTATCAATGCCCAAAATTCTTCCTTTTTATTCAGATTATGATAATTTTACCCCTTTCAGGAACCTAATCCAGAAGATCCTTTAAATAAAGAAGCTGCAGAAGTACTTCAATCTAATCGTAGACTATTTGAACAAAATGTAAATAAATCCATGCGAGGCGGTCATGTTGGATCTGTGTATTTTGATCGTTGCTTGAAATGATGAGTGCGTTATTTAGGACTTCACATATTTGTAATTTAAAGGAAAGAAAACTTGTGGCCAATATTTAACTGAGGGTCTATTCCATTGGTTAATGGCTTTATATGTGAGTGAAAATAACCAAATAAGGTTAATGGGTTGAGAGAACAATGATTTCATTGGCTACTTTCTTTGTGATATTTGGAATAAATGTAAGCTACTGTTTAATTGGATAACATTATTTCCCTACCTTACTTTAATTGTTGTTTATAATCTACTTTGTTCTATATTATTTCTAAGTTTCAAAATACTTATGATAAAACTATGAATTCAATTTTGTTCAGTCAAAAAAATTTAAAACATTACTATTCTCAAATGTAGAGAAATCATCTGAAAAATATCATAGCATAATTACCATACAAAACAGTAAATAGTAAAAATAGTATTTCGACAAAAATAGAATTATTTGCCAACATTTATTCAATGCTTATTTTTCCCTTGTACAATTAACAAACCAATACCCCGAGCAAACATAATCTTCATCATTGATTTCAAGAATGAATTTTTTGATCAAAGAATGAAATTGTCTTTGTGATACACAGTGGTTGTTTTTTTCGCTTTGATATCTAAACATTTGATCAGCTTGTTCCAGCTCTGCAACTAGCAGAAGTGCCATCCCTAAAGGTTGATTTTAACTTAAACTGAAAAGTACATTTTTGCTTGATTAGATCAGTTTATTTATTCTTTTTTCATTACCAGTATTTTTTTCTTGAACTTGTTCCTACTCCTTCTTGTGATTTGCCAGTCATGTCCATCAGGAACTCAGAAAAGTCAAGCATTTAATTAGCAAGGTGTGTTTTTTATAGAATCAATCAAAGCTAGATATCCCCCCATGTATCTGAGCTCTATATTAAAGATAGATTGTCATATTGTGTACAACAAGTGTATATGATATATCATTGTTATAATTATATTGTATGCAATTAAAATATGAAAGTGGATAAAATGTTTACACATAGAATGTATAAAAACTGTTTGTCACTCCTTGGCAAAAAATAGAAAAGATTTAACTTTATTTAAAGATGGGTTCCCTTATTTTCATTTATGAAATTGAAAATGCTAATACTTATATGAATAGAAAGTAGAGGTGTTGTAATGACTTGGAAAAATACCAGTTTGTGTCACATGTCCATAATTAATTCATATTTACCTAAATTAGAAGAATTCCAATGGGTGACCGATCAAGAAAGATCAAAAAGTCTCTCTTTTGTTTATCCAGACTGTACATACATGGACATTTATGATTAGTTAAAACTTTTAATTAAATGCAATAAGAACATAATGATATGATTAAGAATAAATAAGATAAGATAATTCATAAGAAACACCAATTAATCAAATAGTTTGCTTAAGGAAAAAAAATAAGGAAACCTATCTTTAAAGCTGCACTTCGACTTGTCCTTTGACTTTTTATGGGATGAAAATTATTATTGAATTCTTTTCTTATTGTGCATAGAAAAGTTTTCAATAGGACAACAGAGAAAGGTGGCAAATTTTCTTTAATCCAAGGCAGTTTGGTGTGCAGGTTAAAGAGTAATTCATATCAGGTAAACCTGATATTGCATTGTCATTTTGAAAAGTACTAAGGGTATAGTATGACAACATTCATTAAACATAGCTCAGTTAACTGTAGCCAGACAAATCAGGTCTAGCCCATTCCTTAGACGTGATATCCTGACAGTAAGGACCAAACTACAGATCACATTTTATGGAAGTTGCTTGATTGATTTTTGGATTGATAGTTTTAGAAAAATTTTTAAGACTAAAAAGCAGAACTATTAATGAGGCAAAGAGATTTCAGGATATTCTGCAATGACTCACCAGCTACTGCAATACAGTCGATGGGCAAGCTTTTCCCTTCTTCAGTTTGAGGAACGGGAAGGACCAGAAGTATCCAAATGTTGTCTTATTTCACATTTAAAAAATTGCAAGCTCAGTGAAAGCAGTGGCTTAAACAAGGTAGGTTTCCAACCGTTTGGGGAAATTTGCACTTTTCTTTAGGGACATGAAACAGGCTATGGCAAAAACTACAATATCTCATATGACTATGTTGAAATTTCCAGTCACCCACTCCTATAAGATCTGGTGTTACTGAGTTGACCCTAGGACATCGTTTCATGCTGATACAACTTTCTGAAAACCACTTTTTTACAATTACATATGATAAAGGTTTTATAATCTTGGAGAGGAAGAAGTCCTTGACCAGTTTTGAAATAGTTTAGGAAGTAAGTTGACTATAACAAGGTGTTCATCAAATGATAAGGTATATTGCTGGAGGCTATCTAATATATGTGAACTTATTTCAAATGACATTCATGAGATGGGTGCAACAAGGATGTATACCTTTAATGGCACTACATTTCACATGTGATACAAAGGATCATCAAAGTGGAACATTGCATTACAATAAAAACAAAAGTTGTATACTGGGTGGTTCAAGTAAAATGAAAGTAAAATCATATAAGCCTGAGGGTATATGATGTATAATTCTTGACACCTAATTAACATGATTAATTAACCTCATTAACTGATTGATTTTTAAAATACCAACATATTCAAGCAAGAATAACATCTATTATGTCCATGTCTACAGTTCTAGAATTAGGTAAGTCTTTATCATATTTTGAGTTCTTGTGTTACCTTTTCTGAAGGTGATGATAATGGAAACTTCCTCTTTTCTTTGTTTGTGATGGTTCAGGTCAGAGGTGCTGACTTTGGAAAAGCATCTAGGCCTAATGGCTAGGATAGGATGAATAACTTTAAGATATACTACTCTAGGTCATGCACAGTAAAGATCTGTATCATTACACACATAGTATTTTTATTACAGCTGATATAGCTGATTCTGATAATACACTATCATCATATAAACAGATAGATCCTGATCACTGCAATACCAATAACCAAGTAAGTTAAGTTTAAGCTGTTTTAAGACACACACAATATTGCAATAGTAGTCCAGAGAACTTAAACTGACCTGTATTATTTATTAGAATTAATATGATATTAGTATGAACTTAATTCATAATCTATGATGTATGAATGATAATAATAGTCTGTAAAGTTAAATTTGTGTTACTTTCACCATTTTTCATTTATTTGTATACAAGCATGACATTGGATTGCAATTTTGAACAGTGATTCTGACATTGAATAATTTCATCGCTATATTTTTTCAAACTCAGTTTGTCAAACATTGTTTACATGATATCTCTAAAACGGAATTAGATAATTGGACCTGTTATTAATAATTATTTTTCTACATTTCAGGAATTGCCCCAATCTACAGCATCAATGTTTCAAGCTCGTCCCACTAGTCATCATAAATTAGCGACATTTTCCTGTATATTCTGTTGTTGTCCTGTAGGTATATCAGCATTTGTTTATTCATATAAGGTAAGTAACTAATTTATACATGATTGCTGATGTATTGTCTGCATATTTCAAAGATAATGAAATGACAAACAATTATGCATACTCAGAATGCCCTTGAATAACAAAGATCAGTGTTAAAGGTACAGATGCGCCATTTTTGTGGGTTGATTTGAGTGTTGAATATATGTAAATAGTCTTCAGAGGTACAAGTAAGTAAATCGCAAAATTCCTTTAAAAATTTTTCAAACAGAGAATTTTACTAACTATATCTATACATGTCCTTTCTTGATATCACAGAGTATCTTAAAATGACATCATTTTAACATTCAAACACAGATAATTCTGAACACACATGGATTTGAAGGCTAAAATTTCGACAGTGAGATGTGAACAGTACTATTGATTGGCTTATCTAAAGAATTCCCGTTTTTGAGACTGAAGTATGCACCTGTCCCTTTAAGCTATCAAAATGCGTGCTCTTGAAGGTGATATAGCTCAATTTTAACTACCCAGAAACAAAATCTGACTATCATTCTGGCTCTTAAACTGTCATATTTTCAACAGCAGTAAAGATAGCTAAAATTGAGCTTTATTATCTGGAAGACTTTGTCGATCATTAAAGATGGGTTTCCTAATTTTTTAGAGTCAAATTGGGCAAACTAATTGATTAATTGTTGTTTCTAATAAATTATCATGTATCCTTATCATATCATTATGTTCTTATTGCATATAAATAAGAGTTTTAACCAATCATAAATGTCCATGTATGTACAGTCTGGATAAACAAAAAAACTTATTGGAATTATGTTGGTAATTCTCTTCTAATTTAGCTAATTTTGAATTAATTATGCACAAGTGAGACAAACCAGTATTATTCCAAGTCATTAGAACACCTCTACTTTCTATTCATATAAGTATTAGCATTTTTATTAAAAGAATACTTGTAATACATAAGTTTAATTTGAGAAGCTTGTTCTGAACTGAGTGTGAAAAAGCAGATCACAATCATCTTGAGATTTCAGTTCTCTTTTAAATTGTAACAAGAATAAGATCATATATTAGAATATGACAGTAATATTGCAATGTAGTTCCTAGGCAATATTAATACTAAAGAAACTGTATTGCTTTTTTTCTTAACTTCAGGCCCGAAGAGCTAAAGATAATGGAGATTTTAAATTAGCAGAAAGATATAGTAAAAGTGCTAAAGAGTTAGCTATCGCTAGTATAGCTCTGGGTATATTTATGTTACTTATTGGTGGTTTAATAGCAGGCATTCTATTCTATACCATATAAATCATCTGTGGAGTATTAAGAGTGAGGAAGTTCATAGAAACTCCTATGTAAAGCACTGGCTGAGTGAAATATATTACTAGTAATCAATAGAACTCTATCAAGACATTTACAATTTCTTTAGGGAATAAATAAATAATCGGAAATTTCAACATCCATTTTTCACACCTTCAAATGTGTTTTCTATTTGACAGCTTTGTTTTAAACCTTGATTGCAATTGCCACATTTCTTGTCACAGAATGCAGCGATTGGTTGGATTGTACACTAAAGAACAGCCAATCTTAGCACTCAACAGACAGACTGTAACTAATATGGCTAATTGTTAAGAAACATTTTGTCAAGGACACTGATTGGCTCTGTTCTTTAGAGTACAATCCAATAAAATTGTTGCAATAAAGGTGACTATTGCTGTCAAGGTATAAAATGCAGTTAATATTAACTTGACATTGTAAAGATGATTTGACGGTGGACTGAACAATATGCAGAGTAATTAATCAGTAAAGATGTTTGACCAATTATTGTATTTATTTCAAATCTGAAGCCCCACATAGGTTTTCTTATATTATATATAGCATTATAGAAACCTGAAGTTTGTTATTTCTGTTTCAATATTGCTGTCTTGCCCTGTACTAAATTCAATGGAAATATCTTTCTTTTCATACCATTAAATAATATTGTATGCAAATATATTTTTATTCATTTCATGATTAATTTCAATTGTTCTGTACAAAAATATAATATGGAGTGTATTTTCAAAACAAATGTCATGTTTTTTTTTTTAGAATTGTTGTCTATTATTTAACTGCGTAATTGACACATCCGAATCTCAACAATCTTCCTCATTCTCTGATGGGTTGGAATGTTCAACCATTTTTTCAATACGATTTTTTCATGATTATGAAACAACATCCCAGTGCCTGGTCTTTCAGAATGATTCTATTTCCTTTGATAAGTTAGATATTTTACACATATAATAATCCATTCTTTCTTTTAAATCTTGATACAGCTAAAATGTAAAGGAATCAAATCTTTAAAATTAATATATTGTTGGTGCACCATCATGGCTTTTGTACGCAAAATTTATTTCACCTCCATATCATTATTCCATTGTCCAGTTGGCTTCTCCTATTGACTAAATAAGCTCAAATCTGATCCTATTTGCTGAATCATCTTATACTGACTGAATATGATCATGTAACACTCACCTTTTTATGTGTATGATTTTGTTGAGGTTGTAAAGCTACTAGAAGTTGATCTATAGAAGTATATGGTAACCAAACAATACCAGTATGAGGATGTACACAACCCTATAGTAGACATATACAAAATACTAAATATAATACTACACTGAATATACAACAACCTTTCAACCATCACATTTTACAACAACTCAATATATTTAACATTAGCAATAAATAATTCATTATACAAATCAAAATTACAGAATGAAGGTGAAAAGTTAGTGAACAAAAAGAGAAGCTGCACATGGTTAAAGTAATATTCATAAAAATAGTATAAATTTGAAAATTTTGAAGTTTTTTTTATTTAAAATTTGAGCACAATCCTGACAATAATTACCTTAATATTATATCTGTTACTAGTTGATCCACTCAATGATTCTAACATAGCTTCAACATACTCTAATACCAGATCTCCTGCATCTTCTAATAGATCATAGTTTATATACAGACGTAACAGTTCAGATGCATTGATTGACTGAAAACCAAACAAATTATACATTAATATTCAAATTTATGAAGCAATAACAATCATCTGTGTCTGTGATTGACAGATTTGTCAGAAATTTCTTTCTTTTGCATCTGTTCTATGTTCTGTGAAAAAAATCTTTCAGAAGGCTAGAAATTGGATAGACAAATGGACAAAGAAACTATTACCAAGGATATTGTTACACTAAATAAAATAGCGAATTTTAAAACCAAATGCTGAATACAAATTATTAATTATATAAAATATAAAAACTCACTCTATATGAGTTAAGGAACCAGGTTGGTAAAGAGAAACCATGAGATAAAAGTCTTTCAGCAATACACCGATGATATTTACCATTCTTACATTCATAACATTCTATATAATATTGTAATAACCACCATGCTTGATCTACACAGCTATAATATAATATTCATATTGTTAGATATTTATCTTGCACCAATTAATTAATTCTACATATTAGGAGTTGGAAGTATTTGCTCTGTATTTGGAGGTTCGATCCCCAAAAAAAGAAATAAATAGAGTTTTACGTCCTGCTTAGCCTGCTCTTTTTCGATTTCTAACTGTCAAGGGATCTTCAACGCGCACAGCCTGTAGCCCACAGTGGCTCAATATCACATAATTATTTAGCCAATAAAAAACACACCATACCTTGCCTCTCTAGTAGGAGCACCAGATACAGAATAATTTTCTTTTAACCAGTCCCAAGCTTCTGATGTTACATCTTGTTCTATATTTAGACTGGATTGAGACAGATTTACACATCTAGGAAATACATAAAGTCTTTCACTACTGATTATCATTAGTTTTTTAATATATAAAAAACATATCATTTGAGTCCAAAGGCTTTAATGAAAAAAATTATTTTGACTCACGAGTAATTTACAAAATATACAAATAAAGCATGCATATTACATTTGTAAATTGAATCAATGCTATAGCAATTACCTTAAAGCTAGATTTTCAAACACTGAATTGAGAGGCAGGTCAAATCTTCTACAAACTATGATAGCTCTATCAAAAAATCCTGAATTTACAAGATGGCCGACCATTTCTTCTGCTCTTGGCGTTGGTCCTAATTTAATAAAAAAAAAACAATAGATTCAAATATAATATTGTATAATTTGGGATATAAAATTTGGCTAATAACTGTTGATTTGGCCTAAACACAATTGCTAACAACAGAATAAATATAATTATTTTTATCAGAAATGAAAGTGTACCTGACATAAGTGTAGGATCTTCTGTTTTTCTGATTAATCTGAGTCTAGCATCAATTAACATATATTCTCTCTCAATATCTTCTACTTCTAATATTTCAACTTTCTTTTCTACTGAAAAAGAAAGCATGATTTTAGAGCGGCAGACTCAAAACTATTGTAAATGTTGGCAATATTTTTAGCAACATTAATTTATTTTTTAAGAAAAGTATTTAACATTGTGCGAGTGTGTCTTATGACCAATTAAAAAATCGGCACCACTTTGCATAGATGGCCTTGCCAGTTCAAAAATGCTTCTTAGATTTACTTCTTATGAAAATAGAAACATTAAGACTGAAATGGGATATATTACCTTTATGGTTTTTCTCTTCCCCTTCTAGATCATGTTTATTTACAGATAACATTTCACTGGTCTAAAATACAAATAAACTCATCAAAGAATTTAGGTCACTTTCATTTTTCTATAGGTTGAAATAAGTGATGAGACACAAACCCAATTGTTATATTAGAGAAACTTGATCTTTGTTAATCATTTGTAAATTTGAAAGCAAGCTCTATTAATAATAAACACTTGAAATGGTTTTGTATAAGCTTAAGTTGTTTAAAAGATTTGGAGAGATAGATTTCCCACCTATAAGTTCAATTTTTTAATTGACTAAAAATCTGTCCCGGAAATATAAAAAATATTTTTAATTCTCCACACTTTCAAAAGTATTTAGCAGTAACTCATGGTTTTGGTTATTTAAAAGTCTACATCTCTATTAAAGGCTTTTGAAACATGTGTTGTTTACTTACATCATTTTTAGAGTGAGTTACAGGTTTAACAATCCAGGCGTATTCTGGTTTACCAAGACGTAAAGCATTCAATGTGGCAAGATAACATTGAGCTTGACGTTGTAAACCTTTTAAACCTGGTACCTCTCTACCTAATCTCATACCATATTCATACATTATACAACCAGCTAAAATACAAATGTATTTTCAATTATTGATTTAACTTGATTTACTTCAATAAGTCTTAATATTTCAAAATCCATGTACAAGTTTTACATCTGTTTCATTAGAGGAAAAAAGATGGTTCCTGTTTTGCATCATATCAAATTTACTCTGCAGAAAATTACCAAACATTAATCAAATAGCATCTGGCATTCTCTGAGGAAAATTGACCTGCAAATGGCAGCCCTATTAAGTTGGTAGAAAGCACAGCCTTTATTTGGGTATATTTCATAGCATACCTGTGCAACTTAACGAGATCACACAAGAATTAGTGCAAATTATGATTTTCAGCCCCTATTGATAATGCACAATTGCACCACCTAAGTTTTCAGAATGCATGAAGCCATGTCATGCATGCAACCAATGGTGTGCACATGGATGAGAACTAGACTTACCTTTCCTATAGTTATTTCTATCAACATGGAAGGAGTAGAGTAAATTATAATAATTATGTGTAGTTAAATCAACTGATCTAGCTCGGCTTTCTAATATATTCACTACCTGTAATCAGACATCAATTAATACAATAATAAAGGAAAAGACCAGATTGCAAGTTTACAGAGAAAAGATACATTATTTGTCTTTGTCATAATATATGTTGTTTTCCTAATCATTTTATCATCTTATATGGTCACATATCAATACTTTATAGTACAAAGGCCAGATTGTATACACATAAATCTTGACATTATCCAAAAAGAAATCGAATGTTTGATTTGTGAACTAAATATGACAGAAACTTACCTCTTCATTTAAATCTATAAACGGGAAATCAACCAGTGTTTTGAGTTCCCCTCTCTCACATAGTACAATTAATAACTGGCGTAAACAATCTTTACGTCTGAAATATAAAGGATAGGGATTAGGTTAATCTAATTGTCAAGGATTATAAACACTGATAATATTAATGTGTCTGATTGTGAAAAGAGGGTTGTAGAATTTATATTTCGGTAGCTTATAGTTAAACTTGTGACTTATAATTTATGAGTTTTGAAATTATATAATAAAGGTATATCTTACCGACTGGGTTCAGGGTTGCCTATCATAGCATTATAAGCTTCTTCATTGTGATTCAATTCTAAATGATACTTAAATTTCTTGGACCATAGCGTTGGCTAATATAAAACATTACAAATTTACTTGAAGTTTCAAATTTTGTAAATGATCATAAGGCTTATCATTATTTTCATGCAATCATGATAAGACCATGGGGTCACCATTTTCTGGGCTTGATTTGGATATTGAATATGTGTAATTAGTCTTCATTGCTACTAGAACTGCACGAAAAATTGCATAATCCACTCAAATATACTTCAAACTAGAAATTCCACTTTCTATTTCTATATACGTTTTTTTTAATATGGTGTAGTATCAAGGCTGTGTGGTCATTTTAACTTTTAAACGTGGATATTTCTAGACACACATGGATTCGAAGGCTTATATTTCGACTGGGAGCTGTGAACACTATTACTGCTTAGCTTAGGGATTAAAAATTGTTTCTGAGACTAAGGTACGATTGGTCAAATGGATTGTGAATGTGTCAGGCAAAATGGGAAATTTAACTGGTTTTTAAAATAATGGTAGAATATAGTTTCTTTAAGATAATCTTCAAACTTACCACGTTGGGATCATTATCTTTGGCTACAGTGATAGCTAAATCAGCTAGATAAATAACTAGATCATATAAACCAAACTCTTCAAACTGTCGAATCACCTAGTGGATACAAAAACTATGTAACCAGAAATTCAAATACTGTATATCAACAAAATACAGGATTGAAAAATCAGGTGAAATAAATGCTAATTTATCTACTAAGTTAGATACTATTCTGGTAAAAAAATAAAAAATTATCAATGTTTAATAAGCATATTTGTTTTAACTTATTCATTATACAGTATTTCTTCTTTTTCTATGAAATTTTTAATGCCAAGTCCCTATCCAATCCATTCCATACATAAGAAAAAATTAGCTTAGTTTGAAATACCTTCAAATAATACAGTACTTCTATAGAACTATTATTTTCTTCATCACCTTCTATTTTGATAAGTTTTTGACACAGAAAATCATCATTAGCTACATCTTGACCAGCTCGTACAAAACATTCTGAAGCTTTATAGGGTTCACTGTAATATAAGATAGTAGACTTGTTTAATATATTCAATTCAACTGCAAGGTTTTATAGTTACATATTCAAGTATCTAACAAGACATTGGAAGACATAAGACCATCAACTGACCAACTCACTTCAGCATACAATTTGTATATTGACCAATTAAAATCCATTTTGGGTTATATACAAGAGTAGCAAGGGCAATCAGTAGAGATTATGACTACTACTAACTTATTGTGTTACCTCTAGAAAGTGGGAATAATCCCAGTTGAAAATAGTGATTACCATTTATTCATACTGTGTACACATCTTGGAAAATCAAATCGTATAATGTATCTATCATATTATGTAGATTAGCAGCCCAACATTGTTACATCACAATTTAGAAACTTTGGTTGCTCATGATATAGCCATGTTTACCACTGAGAAATAAAACTGACTGCATATTTCTAGTGTTTTCAATTGCTATTTCTGATTGAGAAACTTTCCACTTCTCTGATAGATAAAGAATACAGGATTAGTCCTCTAAATCACTTCCTGCTCAACAATGTTTTTCCCTTGATTTGACCCTTTTCAACTTTCCAGAGGCAGAATAATTTCTAGATGTACTTACTCAAAATGTAAATATGTTAAACCAAGTAGAAATTGTCTAGCTGAAATATTCTTACTACACCATGTATCAGTTTGACGTATATATTCTTGTAACCATAGATACTGACATGAACCAATCAAAAACTCAGGAAATACAAACTCTTCACTCATTGGCCAGCTAATATATTAGTTAAGTCAAATCAATAATCAACATATTACCAATATGAAATAAAATAAAGTTTTACATCCAACTTTTCTGTTCCTTATTGAGACTATGAAAAATTGGCAACACAGTTCAGTGTACAATAAGGAAAACTTTGTTAGGAACTACTTTTTTATTCACGCCTCTTTAAGTATCTAAGACGTGCACAGCCTGCAGTATATACTGCATTGGTTCAGCTTCACTTCTAAAATTTCATGTCCAGAGAAAAAAGAGGCTTGACATGAATGCCATATATTAACCATCTCAATCTATCTACTTGACAGTATATAAAAGGATACAGTATTCTGGCTAGTATATTTGATAATGGTAATAATAAATCAAGCCAAATAGATGAAGTTTCTACATTAACTAAATAACTTTGAGCTAATAGTGTTCTAGAGTAACTTCCACCTGTACCATTTAAAAATATCTCTAATAATGTGGAATACAGAGATCCTACAATAAAACAGAAGCCATTTAGACAAAGCAATTTAGATTGATCTTCAATATGCATAGCTCACAATTGAAAGAATGAAACAGTCATATTTTACAAGGGTAACAGCTAGTGTTGGGTAAAATAAACAAAATAATCTATTATCTTCGCTATGATTTTCAAATTTCAATTATCGATCATCACATTTCATAATCGCCTAGGTTACATTTTCTTTGTGTACCAGTATTTAGGTCAGTTATCTACTAAACTCTTCCACTAAGTTCCCCTTTTATAACTTTGGGTCAAACATACTAAGAGTTTAAAATCATAACTTACCTCTATTAGTATTGAGACGAGTAGTATCAGATATTTCTAATACAGATAACTGACGTAAATTAAACTCTCTAAAATATATCAAATTATCTGATTGTTTAAGGCCATTTTTGAGATTAATCATAAGAGTGAAAATAATGTGAAGGCTTACATAATCCTTTTCTATTTTTAACATGCCTAATAAAGAAAGTTTCATGTAAAATGTGGCAAATTTTATGACTACAGTGCACCTTTTTCACTTTCCATTGTCCAGAGATCTTTAATATGCATAGCAAGAAGCACAAGCACACATGTCGTAAATTTTTGCATAATGGCCTGTCAGGCTTGGATCACCAACAAGTAAAATTAGAATCTTGTTTTACCTCTTGCAGATCCCTGTTAAGTGCAAAATAATGAAGAAAACCTCTATTTCTATTATAAATTGTTCTAATGGAGATTGTATATAAGAAACTCATGACAACAGTATGAGATTAATATAAACTTACAATGTAGTATTTGGAGTTGGTGTAGCTACTACATGACTAAATTCATTTAATACCAGATAATTCCGTATTAAAGTAGTTAATCCAGGTAATAAATTAGTACGAATATTCATTGATGTATCAAAATCTACTCCATATAGATGCTAAAAATAAAAATAAAAATAGAATGCAATGCCTTTCCTTTTCTGTTAGATGGGATATGCTATGCAAAATTTCCGATCCATCAAAAATGAAGCTAATTGTGTGCTTAGACTCTGTCCAATTGTACTTTACTGAAAAGAATTGAGATCTAAATCTAAGAATTTGAAAGAACTAAAAATTGAGCACATGATCTTATGTCAGTTTTGATTAAAGCTCCCACCATTTTGGCAAGATGTGAGAATTTGAAAGTACTTAAAATTGAGCTCCTGATCTTATTTCAGCTTAGATTAAAAATGGCATCCCCTTGGCGAACATTAAATGGGAAATGATGAAAATCTAACCTGTTGACTTAATTTGATCAATAAATCAGCTAGTAGTATAAAATTACGACAAAATATCAGTCGGTTTGATGAAAACTGTTGTAAACATTTTAACAACACAGCTGTACCAGTCTGACTACAAAATAATCTACCACATATAGCCTGTTTTCTACCATCTATCCCAGACTCCTCCATTAAAATATGGCCATCTGTTTCTGCTTGGTTTAAATCTAACAGACGTATAAGGGTTTCCATGGCAATATTCAAGTTCTTTATTTCCTGTATTCGAAGACCTAGTAGTTGACAATTTGTAGTAGAGACACTGTAAAACAATGAAATAATCCAGATGATGAGAAAGGAAATGAAGGATGTTTATTTTAAATAATATTTTAGATTACCTACTCAAAAGTTCATGACAATATAAACAAATTTCCTACCAATCAGTAAAGATTGATGATCAATATAAAGTCATGACTGTGTTGGGTTACATCTAGCAAACGGTCATGGGTTCTAATTTCAGTTGACGTGAAAGAATGGTGAGCTTGAATAAGTCATCTTTTTTCATTATTCCAGTTGACACAGCTGTTAGTCAGTACAGATAATCAACGGAAATAACAATTTAAGGACCAGCAAGTAGAAAAAATTCCTTATAAACTAAGTTGTTATGCTTGTTAAATATGGTTGTTAGTTTTTTCTTTCAATAAATTTGCCCATCAATAAAGTATATCAATAAACTTACCCATCAGTAAAGTAAATCAATAAACTTACCCATCAGTAAAGTAAATCAATAAACACATAAGTAAAGTATAAGATATCATTAAACTTAACCATCAGTAAAATATATCAATAAACTTACCCATCAGTAAAGTATAAGATATCCACAAGATGATGAGCCAGTTCCTGTGGTGATGATAGTAATAATAATTGAGAATGAAACTGTACAGAATGTTCACTAGATATATCTTGATTTACTTTACTAATACAATCACATAATCTCTTGATATCTTGGTGTAGAGAAAAGGCTGAAAATATCCAAATGTTTCAAATTGAACAATATTGCAAATTTGTTATGTAGCAAAATTCTACTGAAGTATTCATAAAATTGACCACTTATGAAAAGGCATGTTCAAAACTCAAAAGGCTTTCAAAATATATTTTTGAAAAAACCATGACAGAAAGAAGCAGACTTACCTTCCTCTTCATTCTGTACATCAAGATCTAAATGTGGTAACTGTTGATCAGATAAATATACCACCTCTTCTAATCTATCACATGGTCGCAGAAAACTTAATGATTCCTGCAATTAAATGAGCATGTATTGGAATATTTTGATTTTCAAAGATCCCAAGTTTGACCTCTCTCAGATGAAAAAAAAACACTAATAGTCTTGAAACTTAGATTACAGCACAAGTACCTTGGCAAAGAGAATGAATATTTTCTTACCTTTTTAATGAGACCAACCAGCCCTGTAACATTATCACTAAATAAACCTTTCATTTTACAACCAACCTGCGAAAAAATAAAGATATTTATGATAGCAGATAAGTATAATTATAGTAATGCTGTTCTTTGACTGTAGCAAACTTACTTCTGTGAATTTGCCTATTATAAAAGTGACATTATAAAGTGCACGTTTTAAATCCTTGTCCACTATCTCTTCTTTGATTTTGTTACAGTTTCGCATCTGCCTTAGTAAAATATGAGCACATGTTTTCTAGCATGCAACTGAGGAATACATTCAGGCTCATATCAAATAAATTGAGGCAAAGTTAAGAATAATTCCACACTAACCTCTTTATATTGTAAACAACAGGAATAAAATTTAGACCATTGTTCAAGCTGTATTTGACAATAATCATCTTCCTGTATCTCATAGTCCATAGCACAATTACGTATTTCAGTCTCAATCGCATTAGTCACTTCTTCCTTTAAATCACTAATATTAATAGCACTGTCAGCCTGGATATGAGAGTCTACTGAACGTCTATAGACATTCAAGGCTTTTAGGATGTGTTTGACTGTAAAATGACCAGGATGAAAGATTTTTTGTAAGAAAAAGTCTCTAGGATCTATATGATGTGGTAAACAAACATCAGTTGATTCTGGTTGATCTAGTATCACATCTATCCATTGCTCTGTATCTCTGTAAAAAACAAACAGACCAATTTCAAGATCTGTAATATCAGATATAATCATAATCATTACTGCAGGAAAAAAAAATGTTCTGCCATGTGAAGCTACATCCAAATTTTCTTTCAAAAGAATAATACTGTATTACTTTAATACATCAACCCCCTTTCATCTGTCCTGATGAGGAGTGTTTATTCAAAACATGTCCTCAGCATGAGATGACCTCTAGTCAATAAGATAGAACTCAAGGGTCTTTGTACAGTAGAATAGTCTCCAAATCGTCTTAGATCCAATCTCGGTTGTCCTGAAGAGGCTTATTTATCCAAAACATGTGTTAAAGATTTGTTTCTATTATGTTAATGCATTTTGAAGGAAAACAAAATGCTATTATGTTAAACAAAATTTGAAATAATCTACTATGTGCAGTCAATAAAATATAATATCATTGATAAATAAATAATCAAACCTACCCTGATAATTGATAGACTCTACCAGTTGATTCTCCTGAAGAACTAGTCCATAATGTAAATAATGTATCACTAGTTATAGAGTAGTCTACTAAATCTTCCTGTAATAGACATTAATAACTTTTATATTTAATATCTTAACTTTCAAATCTAATTAAAGGTAAACTCTAATATTTTATGATCATGTGGTTTTCCTGCAGATTATTACACTTGTCATCCATTTTCATCAGATCAATGGCAAAGTCTGTAGAAAAAACACAAACAAAGCATCCAGATTTGCACTTTCATCATAATGGTTAAAGCTACATTTTAAGCTACTATTTCTGAATATTGTTATAAGAACTTCAGAGCATATCACTCATATGTATAATATTCATATATCTAAGGAAGAGTTGTCATATTAATGTCATGTACAGATTGAAGCTACAACAAGAATTTTATTCTGCACCAATATTAGCCACTTATTATGAATGTTTCAAAGGGAAATTCAGAATATATAATACTTACATGAGGAGCAAATACAGTAGTAAGATGTGTAAAATGGAAACGTCCATTTTCAAATGTTGGTTCAACTAATACAAACTAAAATAGAAATGAATTATCATAGAAAGCAAAAATAATATCTGCACAAAAGAATTCTGTGTCAATTGTTATTTAAGATTTAAAAAAACAAATTGCAATTACTTTTTTTAGTCTTAATATCGATACAATAAGATATGTAACCATTATTTCCACAATATACAGCAAAAATTAACACTTACACAATTTTTGTCATTAAAATTCAGATGTACACAGAGTCTCATTGAAGTTACATTGACAGAGAAAAAGCTTTTAATCTTATGACCTGAACCTGAAAAAAAAATTTACAGACGATACTTTTATTAATCTTTACAGTTCCCAGAAAACTAAACTATGGCTTTTATCTTTAAAGATAAAATTGTCCAAAACAGTCCAGAATCACAAAATCAAAACACAAAATTTCTTAATTTTTCATTTATGGCAGATATTTCTGATTGTAAAACATCAAAATTATAACCATATCATGTTGTGATCAAGATGTATACACCAAAATCTTTAATTCAACTGAGATTTGGGAGGTTTAAAGCAGAAAGCTACTTACTTCCTATTGTAATTGTTGGCTGTGATGCAGAAGGAACCCAATCTAATAAATTACGAGCTAAAACACATTCTCGAGTCTGAAAAATAAATTGTTATTAATCTAACATTAACAAAGTAATTGCCCTGGTCAATAACAGATTAATGGCACAGTAAGTGATTGCTTATGAAATTTTAGTAAGATTAAAATACAGTTCTATTTCACTAGAATAGAGCAGACTATGGCCCATGAAATGAAATTAGCTCATAAAAAAAATCTCATATCGATATCTTACCTTAGTAGACCACATTCTAAGATGATGATCATGACAAATGGTATAAATTTGAGCTTCTCCTTTTAAAGTATGTATAACCATATCATAAGGTGTTTCAGGACTGATCTGTTTTCCCCTGAAATCATAAACCTTCATTTCTGCACCTGATGGGGCTAATATGACACTTGATAAGATAGACAGTAAAAACACTAAACAATTCCAGAGATAATGGTATAGTAATTTGAAAGAAGAACGAACCTTATCATAGTTGGAACCCAACCAGACCACAGTTTTTTCATCATAGATGATTGGTACAAGTCATTCTGTGACACTGTATCTATAAATAAATAGAATTTTCACTGTTCATTGCAAATTAATAGGAATAATGGAGTAACTTACATCCTTCTTAGACACCTTCTTAAGAAAAAGGACCCTACACCTCTAGTAGCTTGTTGAATGGTAAAACATCTTTATCGTTCTTATCTGTAACATCCTTCATACTGTACTGCTGTACAAAGATAAACACAACAAACGACTTGCACAAAAAAATTCAATCCCACACATTAGTTAGTCAGCACAAGGTTAACCATGTGTTTACACTGAGAACGGGTTAATTTTTGAAAGTCAGATTATTCCAAATATGGTACCTACCTTGACTTCCAGGCTGTGGCATTCTAACCAGTATAGTGCCACCTGTATCAGCTGAGAGACAAAATAAAGCATCACCACTACTGTCTAGATAAGTGGCAGCTGTGGTTAGATGGGTTGTTATTGTGGAACTGGGATTTATCAGGAACATATTTCTAGAATCTGTTGTATTAACGTACGATACATCATAGAATATTGATGGTGTTCGTGCTTCACTCTTGTAACTTGCTTCCTGAAAAATAATTATTCACTATAAAAATATATAGATAATTGAAAATACACCTCTTTATTTTTCACCAATTTTCAATTAGTTAAATTTAAGATTCACATGAAATTAAAAGTCTTAATGGATGTATTATAAATCGTTAATTTCAAGATACCAAAGAATATAGTTAGTTCTACAAAAGCATACCTGTCTGCAGTCTGGATGAGGAAACACTAAACGGTGAACACTAGAAACTGTGGCAACCAATATAACAACATGATCATCCACCTCATGAACTGTTAACCCATCAAGTATTGGTGTAGATTGAAATCTGTATCTTATATAATTACCACATAGATTCAAATCCAGAGAGTCTTCTACTAATTCTAAGACATCATTGTAAGATCGCCTGTAATAAAAATTGGGATACACAAAAAAATAAATATAGGATTGCCAGGTCCATAATATGAGTGTGAAAGCCCCTAGTACAATATCATAAATCATTAAACTAAATCTTAGAACATACCAATAAATGTAACGATTTCTGACTGGCGAATCACTCTCTCCACTTTCTTCATAAGCGTATCCACCACAACTTTCTGACACCTTTATATCCTGTAGAGTATTTGTTGATGCCCCTATAATATTTAAAAGCTTCAGCATAAATATGCAAAACTGATGGCATTTATTCATTGAACTTTAGGTCAGACTAGTCACTACTATCAGGGGGTAAAAATAGTGCAGCATTAATGGGCTAACGTGAACTATATCTATTCATGAATACGATGTTTGTTTAAGCTTGTAATGACCGCCTATACTTAATTTATAATGGACGTTGTTGTAAAAAAGAAAATGACCCCCCCCCCTACCCTCAATCAAAGAATCTTTGCCAAGAAGAGTGATTAATTGGTCTCCAATTAAGTTTATGTACATTTTTACATTATTGACAGAAAGGGATTGCTTGGAGCAAAGACGGACCTGTATTGACACTTATTTCTTTCCATCTTGTTAGATTGGGCTTTGAAAGAGAAATTTCTTTGAAGAGACTACTTATTTTTTCCGCCATTTTCCCTCATGTGTATAGCCCTCAACCAAACCATAAATGTATTCTGAAGGTCTTTGTTGGTTTTTATAATGAATCAAACATCATCTATTTAAAGGGAAAAGATCTATATTTCTTCCGAAGGAAGATTAATATTTAAAAGCTTCATATACATGATTTTAAAACGCCAGCAGTGTTTGGGTTAGAGACTAAAAGAATTTGTTTCAAAAATGACATTTTTAAATAATATGAAACGAAGTTCGATAAGGATGATTGTGCTTTTCATAATTGTACTATAACTATTCCAATAAGCGGTATCAGCTCAAAAAATATGATTTATTTTGGAGTGGCTTCAATTTTGAAAAGAAATTCAATATATTTTCGTTTTCGATTTTCGATCACAATTTAGTATAGCCTCCCGGCCCACATTATTTCCGCTTCCGGTCGTGAAAATAGTGATAGCGTTTTATTTATTTCTAAAAGAAAGGCCCCAAATATGCCAAAGTAATTGAATTTTTCTTCTAATTTGCCCTCGATGTGAAGGCCCTATTACCTACATACCATATCTATCTCATCTAATCACAACTCATTTGTGATATAAGCTTACATGAATAAATTGCAGTGTACACTCGTTAATTGTGTTGTACCCCCCCCCCCCCCCCACCCCCCCTAAACTTCAAACTATCAAGGTGGACCGTTTGATAACTTAAGTTTTATATTTTTTAACAGATACTACTGTGACTATTGTGATACCTATCTCACACATGACTCGGTAAGTAAAGATTTCCTTAGACATTGAAATGGTTTATACAGATCTATTTAGTATTCATAATACGACACATGGTATTTGTTGTTTCCTGAACATAACTTTATCATCATCTTCACAATGTTGAAGTGTGTCTAATAACCTGATTACCATAGCCAACTAGCTGAAGCTTGTAAATGCAGCTATATTATAGATTGTACATTAGCAAACACAAACAATTATATAGTCTCCAATGGTGGTACGTGAAGTCATCTACATTTTAACTCGTCAACAGTTAACTCGCCTACAACCTTGGGTCAATTCCTCAACAAACTTAGAGACAACTCACCAACAAAACAAAGATATTATAATATTGAAATACAATGTTTTTATATGGAAATGTATGGAAGGCGGAATGTTTTTTCTATTCAATATTCTCCATTGCTATTTCTTAATTCTAAATTCTTATCTCTTAATTTGCATGCTTACTTCAACATTTGTTTTTGAAATTTGACATGTACTTAGGCACAAAAATCATAATTTGTACTGAAAATGAACATTCTTTGATAAACATTTGGTTTTTCAATTGTTGAATTAATAGAATTTGCTCAACAAATCTTGCGACACAACATGGCTGTTTGGGGACGATATGATGGAGGTATGATGTCCATTATTTCGTTGTTAAACGCGATAGTTCGCATAGCTGCCATTTGAATTCATGTGTATGTTTATGTGTATGTTTTGTTGAATGTGTAATTGTTACAAATGTTATTATATGTGAATGAATAAACAAAAAATTCTTATTTTCTCCCGTCAATAATAACTCTTTTATGATGAAGTTTGTTCTTGTATATGAATACTGTTGTTGACGAGTTGACTCACATATTATATTGTAGACGAGTTTTTGTAGATGAGTTAACCAACAATTTTTTGTTGACTGATAATCCCTCCTATTACACGCACAGCTAAATTGTTTACAGTCTGTCTATTGAGGAATATGAAAATGCTCATTTGAATAGAAAGTAGTGGTGTTCTAATGACTTTGAAAAATACAAGTTTGTCTCACATGTCCATAATCAATTCATAATTTTATTTTATTTTATGATTGGTTAAAACTGATTAAGAATACATGATAATTCATTAGAAACACCAATTATTCAAATACATGAAGTTTGTTTAATTGGCACTAAAAAGGAAACCCATCTTTAAAAGTAGTTAGTAATAACTTGACATTGTGAAGATTTTTTGTTATCAACTGGTTATTACAAAAATGTTTATTATTATTTTTCAGCCTTCAGTAAGGAAGACACATTGTAATGGAAGAAAACATAAAGAAAATGTGCGATTATTTTATCAGAAATGGCTTGAAGAACAAGTACAAAAAATTGTAGATGACACAAGTAAGTTTCTGATTTCAGGCAGTTTTTATATCATGTAAACTTATATGTGGTAATATGGCAAATAAGATTTTAGAAGTCTCTTATGTGTCAACAAAAATTTAAGAGGTAAATACCTGTCTAAAGGAAAATCTGCTCTACTCAGGACTTAGAAATATTAAGAGGTGATAATAAAACAATGTAGAACAGAAAAATTGTACCTATATTATACGTTTGTAATGTCACTAAGAATTGTTGATCTTATATTTCTCTTGATTTATCTTTCAGCTGCTGCATTCAAGGCAGGTAAAATACAACACAATAATCCATTTACACCAGGACAACCAGGACCAGGTGGTGTTATGATACCACCTCCTTCAGGATTAGGTATGGATTTTTAGATACATGTAGATGTAATGAACTTAGCCAATCTTTAATTTTATATGTCATCTATGCCCAGCCATAATGCCAATTATGTAAGCTATGGTTGTTGCAATCAACAATGGAAATGTTGGCCAAATCAATACAAATTCACAGTTGGTTGACTTAAATAATAAAGATTTTATGAATTATGCCATATCAACATTCACTTTAATTAAAATAAGCCATGTTTCATGTTTATTCATTTGGAAAGTAGTCTAATCAGATTTGAAATAGAATAGAATGTCAAGCATGTAGCTCATTTTTATACGCCCACATGAAATGGGGGGCGTATATTGTCGTCACCCATATCCGTCAGTCCGTCCGTCCACAATTGCTCGTAAGCACTCTACAAAGCACAATTCTTGACTGATTTCGACGAAACTTGGTATGGTTGTTTGTGATCACCCAAGGATGAACCCTATTGAAAATCAGACGAATCGAAAAAATATTTACTATGAGTTATTGCCCTTGTTCTTGAAACACTCATAAACACTCTAGAAGGCACAATTCTTGACGGATTTTGACGAAACTTGGCATGAGTGTTGGTTATATCCATGGATAAACCACATTGAAAAACAGAAAAATTGAAAAATATTTAGTATGAGTTATTGCCCTTGTTTTTGAAAATGTGTTCAAATTTTAGCTTGTAAGCACTCTAGGAGGGACAATTCTTGATTTTAACGAAATTTGGCTTGTGTGTTGGTTATCACCCAAGGATGAACTCTTTTGAAAATCAGAAGAATCTAAAAATAATGAGTATGAGTTATTGCCCTTATTCTTGAAAACTCATTCAATTTTTAGCTTGTAAACATTCTAGAAGGCACAATTCTTGACGGATTTTAACGAAATTTGGCTTGAGTTTGTATAATCACCCAAGGATAAAGCCTATTGAAAATCAGTAAAATCGAAAAATATTTAGTATGAGTTATTGCCCTTGATCTCGAAAACTCATTTAATTTGTAGCTCGTAAAAACTCTAGAAGGCATGATTCTTGCCGAATTTTGACAAAACTTTATAAAAAGTTTTATTATTCATTACCGCGCTGAAGATTGAATATTTGTCTTCTAGAATTTTCACGAGCTAAAGATTAAACACAGAACTAGGGCAATAACTCATACTCAATATTATTCAGTATCACCCTAAAGAGTTCAAAAGAAGTGTATGACTGAAGGTTGAATATTTCATACTGGTGATTGTTATTGTACTGCCAAATATTTCTATGCAAAATCAAAGCTGCCAGTGGGCATATGTTATCTTGCCTGGCAAGCTATCTTATGGATTTATGGATGGAAAGATTTTTAACATCAATGATATTAATATTCTGTCTGGGAATCTTTTATGCAACCACAATAAAGTACCCCTGCAACTTTTCAATATAATTAACAACTGTTAAGCCACCACCTTCATTACTTGACCAGCGCTCACATGTTTTCACTCCCATCAAATCAAAATGAGTCAATTAAGTGACCATGACTGTTCTCTTAATCATCACCATCACATGATTTCAAATACAAACTAGATTAATAGGGATTATAGTTTATTGAAATTTAGCTAATTGTAAAATTATTAATTCAATTGTTAATTAATGATATCAGTCTAAAAATATAAAATAACCATCCAAACAAAATAGTTTTGGTGTTTATTCTGACCTAATTCTCTCCTAAGAGACCACCTTCTTTAAGATTACCATTTCAGATTATTCCCTTGTGTGGTCTCTTAATACAACTTCTACTGTATTACACTTGTTCATCTCGATTTTGCTTAGAAAAAAATCTGTTATTAATTATGACTGAAATAGAATTTTACGCTTTAGTTAAACCATGACTGCATAGGATAATAGGATAAACATTCTTGAACATAATAAATAAGATACTCTAACATGTTTTATTTTCTTGTAGGTGGAAAACCAGGACCAAATCAAAATATGCCTATGGGTGGCCCAATGGGTGGTACACCAATGATGATGGGCCCTGGAGGTCCTATGGCACCACCAATGATGGGTAAGTGTTCTATAAGATGTTAGAATGAGGAAATAAGGCGTCATTCTAAATCATGTTACGTTAAATTTTTATCAATAATTCATTGTATAATGCATGTATACCTATTTCAGAGTATTCTCAGCTTCAAGATCGGAACCATTGTTATAATAACAGGAATCAAAATAAGTACCGGTACAATTTTTTAACTGCAATAAGTTTAGAAACAAAATTGTACAAGGAGACTTTGCTTTAAATTTAAAAATTGTGAACTGAAATTTTCATGTAGATAAAAAAAAATAAACTACATCATTTGAATGTTCTGGTCATAAAATTGAAATTTTTGGCATTTGCATACATTTTGTTGTCAGATTGCTTATCAGTAAGTAGCCTAGGTGGCAAAAGAAAATGTCAAAAAGGGGTTATAATTCTGCTTTAGTCTCTCTCACACTTGGATATAGGGTCAGGTAATATTCCTTTCAAGGACAACCCTTGATATCTGAGGACAAAATGGAAACTTCATTATGTGAAAAGTTGCACGAAATATTCTATGCCAAATTGATGAAGAATTACTCATGAAAATAGAACTTCAAGCATTTATAAATTCATAATATAACATAATTATTAAAAGTATTATTGATTTTTACTGTAGATGTGCTAAATCAGTATCATTGTTTATTATTCATTATATAATTTGATAAAAGATCTATTCAACTAGATTAGGTTACAGGAAATGAAAGTTATAAAGTGTAACAGATTGTGATTTTGTCATAATGATATCTTACTATATTTCATCTGTTACAGTTATTGTATATATTACATAAAAGGTTATACAAGTTCAGAACAAATTAACCAATTTGATTTACTTTTAAAAATGTTCTCAATGAACCTCAAGAATCTATTTCATTAGCCTTGGTTAGTTGATTAACTTTACTGGTGTAAGGCTAGATTTGGCATTCTGATTTCATTGATCTGATTTGACAAATTTCTAGACTAAACCAATAGGTTACTGATGAGGCTTTGTAGTGCTTTGTGTTGTATTCTGAACTAAAATGTTATGCATATACTTTGTAGGTATGCGACCACCAATGGGCCCAATGGGTTCTATGGGACCAATGGGTCCCCCTATGATGGTTGGAGGAGGGGGTGGAGGAGGTATGAGACCACCAATGGGAGGAGGAGGACCTGGACCAGGAGGACCCCCTAATAAAATGCCAAGGAAGAATTAATTTTATGCAGTGAACAATGCCTGATATTTTAAACATTTGTTCTGTAGTGTTAACAGATTTCTAATGAGTTCATATTTCCACCAGACGACTGTCAAATTCCATTTCTTGTATTATGGACGTTTTTTTTTTTTTGGCTGCATGTGCTACGTATCAAATATGTAGTTTGAGATACAAGAAAGGTGGTTATTGCAGTCAAGATATAAGACATTTGTTAAGCTTGCTTAAGCTTCATATGAAGTAAACTTGTGTTGAATAATAATTTCAGTACAAAAGACAGAATCTTTAACTCTATTAGGTAAATAAAACTGATGATTTTATTATGTGTGCAGAAATTAAAGCAGACACCAGTCACTGCCCTGAATATAATAATCCAATTTCATTGTGTATGTTCATTAACATTTTTATCCTTCATTATCATTTCAACAAAATAAATATTTCATATCAGTATTTGTCTCTTTATAGTACAAGATATATTTTAACGAATCTGTATGTGGTTTTGGGTATGCATGAAAATATGGATTCATATTGTTGCTACTCCTGTCTGTGCATCTGTCAGTCGGTCAACATTTTTTATTAGGTTGTTCAAGATAGATACTTATTTCCCGACAACTCTGGGGGTTTACTTTGACCAAAACCTAATATGTAAATGTAAAATAATGAAATTTTGATATTGAAGTTCATATATGACGATGTTTCCATGAATGTTTTTTTAGATATTGCGTGGCAAACCGATTTATCGATGTGTCACAGTTTGTTATGCAATCGATTTTTTTTCGGGAAGTAACAGTTCTATTTTGAATGGGCTGGAATCAAAAATGAATATCTTAATTAAAAATTTTGCTAAACCGGAATGACATATTGCATTATGTGTAAAATTTGGTTTGTGGCCTGTAGAGCTGATTTGTAGACCGATTTACCTTGAGTTTCTTTTTTTATGCACATTGTAACAAGATGTATCGAATGCAAGTTCTTACTTTGTTGGCAATATATATAACTTAGATAAAATGTAGATATGAAAATAAACACCTTCCTCTCCTTTTGTTTATCTCAATCAGTAGCTCAATTGAAAATAAGACCCAATTATCGACAATCTCGTAGATAAGCCAGTTGCACTAATGGGAAAAATAGTAATTCAAATGAGAATAAGCCCTCATGAGAATGAGTAAACGGATAAACAATATTATTGACACAAGGTTATTAACTTAAATTGCCAATACTCAGTATTGCAAAAATTACAATGAAGTTTTTATTGCGTTAATAATTCAATTTCCCACTTTATGAAAATTTAAGAGTTTTAATTTCTTGTTCACAAATGGTAGGCTGTTTTCAATGTCGTGAAATTATTTCTTCAACATATCCCTCGGGTGAATCTATTCCTTAATGAAAGACAGGCTAGAAGTATTAAAAGGTTTGAAATCCATGGGATAAGGATTTTTAGCCACGCTCGTAGCTGTCCACAGTTCTAGTTGCCATTGATCTAAAAAAAAAAGGACCTAGATCATCTTGATACAACCCCTTACAGAAGCGTTTGGTTTGCGGAAACCTCTGTCTGTCTATATATATATATATATATATATATATATATATATATGAGATCTAGAATGAGCGAAGTACAAAATGGAGGAATTAGAGTTGTAAATAGATTGATATCTCACAGCAATCAATACTGAAATTATTCATTTCATTGTAAAAGAGATACAATCGTCTGCATATTTTCATCACTTACAGTGGTGTAACCTATTTTCGTGGATATAAGGATTCAACACCGAATTT